TTTCAGAGTTTTAGATTCTTGCTAATTTGATTCAATGAAAATGAATATTTTCACTCATTATTAAAAATTAAAATGTTATTATTTTTATTTTTTTCTTATCCTGAAAAATGAAAGGTTATTATACTGTGCTGACTGGTTTTGTGTCAACTTGACACAAACTGAAATCATCTGAAAGAAGAGACCTCAGTTAAGGGAATGCCTCCCTAAGATCCCTGGAGGCAAGCCTGTAGGGCATGTTCTCAATTAACAACTGATGAGGAGGGCCCAGCCCACTGTGGGAGGGGCCATCCCTGGGCTGGTGGTCCCGAGTTCTGTAAGAAAACAAGTTGAGCAAGCCATGGGGAGCAAGCCAGTAAGCAGCACTGATCCATGGCTTCTCCACCAGCTCCTGCCCTGCTTGAGTCCCTCCCTGACTTCCTTCAGTGATGAACAGTGATGGGGAAGTGTAAACCAAATAAACCCTTTCCTCCCCAACTTGCTTTTGGTCATGGTGTTTCATCATAGCAATAGAAACCCTAAAATAGACATATATCATTATTGCTTCCAAATTTTGAGTTTCTTATCGGGCCATTTGTCCATTATCCAACTGTAGTATAAACATGTATTGCTAATAATTAAAATGACCCTTTTATATATCAACTATAAGCACATTGTCATACATAGTGAATACTTTCCTGGTTGGTTATTTGCATTTTATTTTCATATACTGTATTGAAATGAAAGGGGGAGACAGCTCACATGCTCTCTAGTTCATCCATTTTAGTAGACTAATAGAGTTGTACAATATCACCACAATCAACTAGACAACACTTTATCACCCCAAAACGCAGCTCTGCCCACCCATTAGCAGTGACTCACATACCCATAGTCCTTCAGCCCTAGGGAACTATGATCAACTTTGATATATGGGTATTTTTCATTTTGTGTACTCAACCATATCTTTTCTGGCTTCCCCTTATTTTCCTGTGGTTTCAGTTTTTTAACATTTAATTTTTAACTCATCTAAAATACAATATATTATATTATTATACATACATTACACATATAATATATATCACATATTATATAATATACATACTGACACTTTATAAATAAGTCAGATTTCAGATTGCATCAATAAAAACCATGCCAGTAGTTTTAAATAATTCTTTCCCATTAACTGTAGTTTTCCTTTTATGAAAAAGTATCTTTGGGAGGCTATTTTTTGTTACTGTAGTAAGTCTCAAACCTATTTTTTACCCAGAATTCTATTATTCTCTTCGCCTAGCTCACCGGAACTGCCAAAGTGCACTGCTCTTGCTCACGTGCTTCTCTCAGAAGTGTAATTATGGACGCCTGCTCCTGCCTGCCATGTGACTTGATTAGCACCTTTGTGCTTTCACTTCTGGGTAGGAGTTAACAGTTCAAATTTTTCATTTTGTAACAACTTTACTGTTTCTTGTTTTCTTGAAGGAGGGCGAGTTAATGTCCATGACATGAAACGTGTTCTTCATAACACTGGTTTCAAGCTGGAAGCGAAAGAACTGAAGGACCTGCAGGCTCACCTGCCAGTGACTGGTGAGCGCTCTCAACTTCTTTATCCCGGAGACCCCGTCCTGTCAAGCCTGAGAGCAGCAAGGAAAGAAACAAGATGAAAAGAAAAACTGAGGACAGATTGGATCTCAGGCTTTTCCTGCAGAAGCATGCCGGTGGCAAATGCAGGAGTCGGGTTAATTGGAACTATGCAGAATGTGGGGACTTCAGAGGGAAGGGGAGCAGTGATAACAAAACAAAGGGGAAAACACTGTCCGCAGTTGAAAATGTGTGGGCCACAGTGACACAGCACTCAGGAGGATCTCTGTGTGTTTTATAATGGTCTCCATAATGAGATCTGGGTTAGCAAGGACTACGTGATGAGGCCCTATTTAAAAAAAAAATGAAAATGCATTTCCTGATTATTAATGCTATTAAACCTTTAAGAAATGTATCTAAAAACTTTTAAACCAACCAGCAAAGACATCAGTGCCTCACTAGGGGCTCTTTTTTGACTCAGAACTCCTTTATGCTGTTTTGTAAATTAATAGTTATCAATATTTATTGTGTTAAAACTGAAACACATTTTAATAATGTTTATCTATTAATTCTTTAAACTTATTGTTGCTATCTTTTGAGACCGGGTCTCACTGCTTAGCCTGATGAGGAAATTTCTATGAAGCCCCAGGTTGTCTTCAAACTCCTGGTTCTCCTGCCTCAGTCCTCAGTGCTGGGGGGTTACAAGTGTGTGCCACAAAGCCTGACTCATATTTTTTGAAAAAACAATAAATTTATTACTTGATAAAATACATCTTATGGAAATATTTTCCCAGAGAATAATTGTCTTAACATTTTTATTAATGATTTTAATGCATAACTAGATGCCCATATATGCTTTATTTTGCAATCTGCTGGAATATTTTGGTTGTTTTATTTTATTCTGGTTTGAAGTAATACTGGGGATTGAACATAGGGCCTCACACATGGTAGGTATGCACTCAGCCACTGAGTTGCAGCCCCGGCCCTTGTTGGACTAATTTAGTTTGGGTAAAAATATATAAAGATAACCTGACTTCATACACATGCAAATCATTGGCAGGAGAAGCGTCTGATAGCCTTTCCATACTTTCTTCCTGGCTATTCTCTCAAAACTGAGCAAGTAGCTTCTTAAAATGTAGCTACCTTCCATATACTTGGTTACAGCAAAGTGTAGTAGTCTGCCTGAGCCTTTCATTTTTACCCATGCATGGCTTCATAAGATTCAATATTTTTTCAAATCAGATTCATGGCTGAGGGGATGGCTCAGTCTGTAGAGCACTTTCCGCACAAGTGTGAGGATCGGAATTCAATCCCAGAACCCACATAAAAAGCTGGACATCGCGCACACACTTGTACATGGAGGAAGTGGAAAAGGAACTTGCTGGCCAGCAGTCCTGACATATTTGGTCCCAGGTCTCAGTGAGAGACCTTGTCTCAAAAAATATGGTAGAGGACTCCTGAGGAATGACACCCAAGGTTGAACTCTGGCCTACACACACACACACACACACACACACACACACACACACACACACACACGCATGCACGCACACACAAAAAATACAAAAACCTTGTTAAGGCCATTCTTAAGTGAAACTGACATCTTACTACAAGCACACATAGTGCAGGACAGAATGACAACTAGTGCCTTCAGATGTCCTTATTTCAAAGATGGAAGTCATTTTCCCAGTCACCAGTGCAAACGGAGATGCTGTGGGAAAGGTCCAGGGTGTAGGAGACTCGGAGGCGGGTGGACCCCTCTGGAGAAGCGCTCTTCTCCGCTCTTCTCAGGGTCACCCACACAGCATGAGAGGACTGGTTCTGCTGACCCCAGCAAAACCCCTCTCCCAGAATGCAGTAAGGCAGAAAAGAGAAAGAGTAGTCACTGAATGGACACACACGCACAGCTTGAGTCTTTTCTCTCTTATATGTTTTCATTGGTTTAAAAGATAAAAATTCTAAGGCCGGGCGGTGGTGGCGCACGCCCTTAATCCCAGCACTCGGGAGGCAGAGGCAGGCGGATCTCTGTGAGTTTGAGGCCAGCCTGGTCTACAAGAGCTAGTTCCAGGACCGGAACCAAAAAGCTACTGACAAACCCTGTCTCAAAAATAAAAAAATAAAAAAATTAAAAAAAAAAAGATAAAAATTCTGAGCCAGTGTGGTAGCGCACACCTTTAATTCCAGCACTCAGCAGAGGCAGGCGGATCTCTGTGAGCTCAAGGCCAGCCTGGTTGGCAAAGAGAGTTCTAGGACAGCCAGGGCTGTTACACAGAAAAACCCTGTCTCAAAAAGCCAATAAAATAAAAATTCTGAACAAAAGCAAAAACTTTATATGATTTTTTTAAAAAAATCTGTCTTCATCTTCGAATCTAAATTTTGAATTTTCTTGCAGAACATGAAAAGGTAGATTTGGATGTAATGATGGATGCAGCAAAATCTTTCACAGGTGAGAGTTTATGTAAGATGTAGTCCCTGGAAGCCTGAGACTTGGTCTGGGTCGGAACTGCCTTTCTTTAGAGGGTCTACCCTCCAGTGCTCACTGACATCACTCAGCTTCTTACCTAGGCAGAGATAATTTTGTCTCTTTGACAACAATTTTGAACATTAGAAATTTAGAAGCATAGACCCCCTCAGAGAGAGATATTAACTTCAACATGTGTGCCAGTACAGTATTCATTTCACTAGTGTTAGAAGAAATGAAATATAGATTACCATAGTGAATTTGAATGCAAAATTTTTGCATCAGGAATATGATCAGTATGAACAGTCAGTACCATGATTCAGGCCATTAAGTAGAAATGAGAGATTTTGCATACAAGTACAATTATGTAAGTCCTATGCCATCTGTTCTTAATTTTAATGTTCTCATGCTTATATAACAAAATACCATGGTCTGAGTAATTATAATTTATAAATTTATGTTTGTTTCTCATCACTGTGGAGACTGGAAAATCCAACACCAACACGCATGCCTACCCAGCATCTGCTGAGTTTGGGGCCACTTCCTGCTTTAGCAGGTGCCTTGGACACTGTGTCCTCACACTGTGGAGGAGGGAAAGGGAAAACAAAGGGCCTCCTGCTCCTGAGGCCCCTTCATAGCCATCATCCCATGCAGGAAAGGCAGCATGACCTCCTGCCTCTTGTTGCCACCATACTGAAGATGAAGTTCCAGTGGGAAATGTGGAGAGAACTCAAATGGTCGTGCTGCTGCCATCACCGGCTGTTACGCAGGGCTGCTCCGTGCTGTACTGACCCCAGCACAGGAGACAAGTGCTGTCCTCTTACCCGACTTAAAAAACGCTTTCAGATAACTCCAGATTAGTCACGTCGGCTCACATCCTGTACTGGCTTGCCCTGCTGTTAAAGGGAATGCTGAATTTCATTATATTGTTCTTAACTTAAAATTATTATCTCTTAACCTGAAATAATTCCCATTTACTTAAAGGAGAAAAAGTTGACGCCAAGGACATAAGAAACTTTCTGGGAAGCATGGGAATTGCACTCACTGAAAGAGAAGAGTTGAAGCTGTTAAAATCTCTGCCCATTGCTAGTGAGTACTTAGCATGCCGAAGGGGTTCAGAGAGATGAATGGGGTACTGTGGGTGTCCTGGGTGAGAACGGCCATGAATAAGAAGCCCTTGTCTTGTTTGTGTTTTAATTTGACAGTGAGAAACTTCTCCCTTATATTCAGCCAGTGAGCCCTGAGTAAATTCTGTAGCCCCGCCCCCAACTCCCACAATGTACCTCACGTCTGTCGGTCCCCTGGGAAACCTCCCCTCTCCCCACAACGCAGCTAAAAGATAAATTCCTGTGAGCAGGGTCCCTTCAGCATCACTCGCCTGTGCAGACCGTACCCCTCTGTCAGTGGATAACCCACAAGCCTCTCAAAAGTTCTGCCTCCGGATCACATGGGGTGGAGAGTGAGGAGACCTAGAGACTGACCTTTTACCTCTGCATCCCGCCCATTTCCAAGAACCCCAACAGAGCCATTCTTCCCTACCCCCATTGTTTCTTTCCCACCTGCCCCCCCCCCCCAGGAGGGCAAGCTTGCACATTGGCTGGGTATTAGTGCCCCCTGGAGGGAGCAGCAGCGTCCTCAGCAGCCAAGGCTCAGTATCCATCTGAATTCTCGCCACAGGCACAATAGACTGCCCATTCCCTGAGTTTGCCACCTCCCTCATCTGAATTCCGCATGCACCTAAGACTGCCTATTTGCTGTCTGCCATTTCCCCCCTCTGAATTCTCGCCTCATGCACCTAAGGCTGCCCCTTCCCTGTGTCTGCCACCTCCCCCACTCGCCTCCTCATTGTTCTTTCAAGGAACAATCTGAAAATTGCCTTCTCCTTCCCTCCCTTAAGCCCTGCCTTCTTGCCTTCCCTGCCTCCCTCCTTCCCTTTGGTATCACTGGTGATCTTCAGAGTGCTAAGCCAGCCCTCTACCACCTTGCAGCTTTCCTAGCACTTTGGCTGGGGGGGGGGGGGGGGGCAGATGTCCTCTACTGGAGAGTGCATCAGACAGGTGCCAGGCATGGAGGGTCCACAGTCTGGAGCTCTCTGGGGACAGATAGAGCCCATGAGGATATGTTGTGTCAATAGATACTATCTGTCCCATTTTTCCTTCTCCTTTGCCTATGGAGTTAATCTAGCAAGTAATTTAAAATATTTGCTCAAATTGTAATTCTCCTGTCTCAGCTTCTCTAATGCTGAGAGGAGGCATGTGGTAACATGCCTGGCAGGTAACTATTTTTAATATTATCCTTTTATATGGCCTGCCATTTGGTTAAACATATAGGTCTGCCTCATGGGCAGAAAAAGGGGAGGCTATAGTGGAATAATAATAATAAAAAAAAAACAAGAAGAAAGCCAAAGAGAAAAATGTGTGTATAACACGCCTTACCAGTTGCCATGTGTGACAACTAAAGTTTCAGACTTAGCACGTTGAGAGCAGTCCTTCTGCCGTTATTTGAGGGTGAAACAGATTTCTAGGTAAGTCATATGTTCATGGCCAGAGATGTAGCTTAGTGGTAAACTGCTCTCCTCACTTGTACAAGGCAGAGAGAGAGAATATTACAGTTTTCTCATCCCTCTCCTTGTGTCTCACCATGTCTTACAGAGGATGGAACCATCTATAAGAAAAGATTACTGAGCGGTGTGGTGCCCATCAAAGGTACGAGTCCCGGGAACGGGACCTGCAGTTCCTGCCTTCACATTTACTGACTGGAGTCTTGCTGTTCCATGATCCCGCGAGTTTGCTGACTCTGGCTCCAGCCTCAGAACTCAGCTACGGCTTACAGCACAGCACCCCTCTTTTGGCTTACAGCACGGCACCCCTCTTTTGGCTTACAGCACGGCACCCCTCTTGTGGTTTGCTGTAGCTGAGGAAGGCGTTGTTAGTCCTGTGTCACTGTAGCAGACCTGAGGATCTTTCAGTTACAAGGTTCTCTCTTTACAGTTTATCTTCAGCTGTGATCACATCAACTGAGACTTGGACCTTAGTGAGGATCCTTTTCTCTCCCCAGCTCCAATGGTGACCAATCTGGGTTGTAAAATAGCCAGCATCTCACTGTCCCCCGGTATTGAATCCATGGTCTTTAAGATCCATAGCATTTTTTAAGGATTTATTTTTTTAAATTATGTGCCGTGTATGTGGGTATATGCACGTGTGTGCAGGAGCCCATAGAGTCCAGAAAAGAGTCACCTCCCCCTGGAATTGCAGTTACAAGTGACTGTGAGCTGCATGATGTGTGTGCTGGGAACCAAACTGCAGTCTTCTGGGAGAGCAGAATGTGCTATGAACCACGGAGCCCCACTCTCAATATCCTTAAAGCTGTCATCTTCCACTCAGGGAATCCCTTGCTTTACTTCCCTCTCCTTATTTCTTAAGGGAAAAAAGTCCACTACTCTAAGCTGCCACTCATTTTGAAGGCTGCAGAATTTGAACTTGAGAAGGAAGACTGTGAGGACCTGATGAATCATCTGCCTTTGGATGGTGAGTATTTCACACACCACTGTGTTGGAGGAAATGCTGCTTGGTGGTTCTGGCCGCCCAGCTAGCTTAGACCCAAAATAATCACACAGAAACTGTATTAATTAAATCACTGCTTGGCCCATGAGCTCTAGCTTCTTATTGGCTATCTCTTATATTAATTTAACCCATTTCTATTAATCTGTGTATCCCCATATGGCAGTGGCTTACTGGCAAAGTTTTGGCATGTCTGACTCTGGTGGCAGCTCCATGGAGACTCTCTGGCACCGCCCTTCTTTCTCCCAGCAAACAGCCTAGCTTTCCCTGATAGTTCTGTTCTTCCCTGCCATAGGCTCAAAGCAGTTCTTTATTCATTAACCAATAAAAGCAACACACAGACAGAAGGAGCTTCCACACCACCACTGTCACCAGGGCTTCTGTGTAAGGCCGTATAAGCATTTAGAAAGAAAGAAAGAAAGAAAGAAAGAAAAAGAAAGAAAGAAAGAAAGAAAGAAAGAAAGAAAGAAAGAAAGAAAGAAAGGAGGAAAGAGAAAGAGAAAACAAAGGCAGTCTCTTCAGAAAGTTTACGAAACATTTGGCTGTGTTCATGTCGTCTATGCAGCCAGTTAACAAGCACGCTTCACCCCTACTTCATCTTTTCTTTCGCATGTTTACCTATTTCTCTTTGATTTGTCCAGTGCTGTAGCCCACATGCTTTAAATTCATGGCCGTCCTCCGGAATGCTGGGATTACTGGCCTAAACGTATAGACCTACTTCTAATGATCATTAATGCTTTTATAAGATCAATTCTGCCAAACAGGAATGTCAAAGAGGCAAAACCAGTGTAATCCATCAGGAAGGAAATGAGAGATGAGCCCAGGGTCTTCATGGGACTGTTCTGTAATTCAGACCCAGGACCAGTGTCTAGAGGGACAGAATGGCAGCCTAGCTCAGAATGGTGTTCAGTGATGGTTGATGTCTTAAAGGCCCAGCTCCTCCTTTTTTGCTTCTTCTTGAGCTAAAATAGTTAATAATAGAAATCATGAAAGATGGCTGAATCCAACTCTTTACAACAAGTATGCATTGTAATTTTTCCAACTGGATTGTCTTTTCTTACAGAAAATGAAATGGTTGATTTAAATGTGTTAATAAATGAAGCAAAAGCTTTTACTGGTAAGTAGTTCTAGTTAAAAGGCATTCACTATTAACTAAGGCCTTAATATTTTATAGAAAAAATACTGTCTTCAAGCATTAGTTTTCTTTTGAGGCTACTACTGACATGCTAAATTAGCTCTCCTACAAAATTAAGAGTTGAATATTTGTTTCACAATCTTATATTTGATTTGGGCTTTGTTTGTATAGGATGTGAGTCTCTCTCTCTCTCACTCTCACTCGCGGGGGGGGGGGGGGGATTCAGGAAACATTACTGGGAAATTAGACCTGCTGTCTAAACAGCCAAAACATAAAGGAGTACTATTCAATCTCAAGGTGGGGTTTGATTTGTATCTGGAATGTGAGCTTTCCCTTCTCTTGAATTAAAGGATAAGTTCACCTTCTTAATAAAGGACACATTCACATGCCCCTTGAACTTATGTAGCTTAACGACTTTTCTTGAGATTTCAATCCTATAACAGGATTGTACCGCATAAATAATTTAAATACTTTTTCCATGATCTAAAACCACCCAGGCTTGGGGCATAGCTTAGTCCAGAAAGAACTTACAGGAGGACCTGAGAGTTAATCCCAGAACCCACAGAAAAAAACTGGACTTGGTGACATCAACTTGTAATCCAAGTGCTAAGAATGCAGAGCCAGCAAATCCCTGGAGTCACTGACAGTCAGCATCGCCTACTCAGCAAGCCCTACCTCCCAGTGAGAAACCCGTCTCAAAATAAATAAATAAATAAATAAATAAATAAATAAATAAATAAATAAATGTGGACACCTCCTGAGGATCAAAGGCTGACCTCTGGCCTCCACATGCACATGTGCGCAGAAGTGCTTGCATAGCCATACACACAGTAAGTAAATAAAATCGTTCATTCATTGCTAAAATTCTTACCTGTTAACAATCTACATCTTTCTAAAGGGAAGAAGGTTGGAGTCGATAATGTAAAGCATGTGCTGAGGAAAGTGGGGCTGGTGCTCCCCAACAAAGCATACAAGGATCTGCAGAGATTCCTGGCAGTTTATGGTGCGTACCGAGGTCACTCCTTCAGGCTTGGGTTAGGAGCGTAGAGGGTGAGCTCATCTGGAATTATACATTGCCCTCCAGGAAAACCCTTTAACAAAACACAATGCTGATGGTAGGGGAAATCTTGTTGCCTGTTCTAGAAGGCTGACAATATCTCCCACAAGCCTCTACCACCAAACTTAAATGTTCCTGCTGCCCTGGGCACACTGCCAACTCTAAATCATGACCAAGAAGAGGAGTGGAGAGATGGCTCAGTGATTCTGAGCACTTGTTGCTCTTGCAGAGGACCAGGGTTTGGTTTCAGCACCCACAAAACAGTTCAAACCCATCTGTAATTCCAATTCCAGTGGATCTGATGCCCTCTTCTGGACTCTGAAGGCTCTACACACATGTAGTGCACAAAACATCCACACAGTTTCCAAAACGAAGAGGAAAATAAGAGAAAGGAAAAAGGGAGAAAGAGGAAGTTAAGACTTTTTAATTCAACCAGCGTATATACTTACAACTCACGTCTTCATATCTGGGTTCATTCTTACACTATGGTAAAAGTAAACCTCCAAACAGATCAGAGGGTTAGTTGAGGAATTTTCCTAGAATCAAGGATGTCGTCTTGAGTTTGTGCTGTCTTTGTCAGTCTTCCCGGCAATTAACTCTATTATGTAGTTACCCTATAACTATATCCTGTTATATTCTGAATGCTCTCTTACCTTCCAGAGGGTGGGAAGATATATAAGAAACGGCTGCTCAAGTGTGTAAAGAATCTCAAAGGTTAGTGAGACGCAGGGTGGACTTGGCCGGGTGTAGTGGCGCATGCCTATAATCCTCCTTGGGAAGCTGAGGCAGGAGGATTGTGATTCAAATCCTGCGTCTACGTAGCAAGTCCCTGTATCAAGGGGAGTAAAGTTCGTGTATAGTATTAGCTCTTCAAATGGCCCAGCTTTGCTTCCTGCCAATTTATTGATCCATCAACATGACTTGTAACTTGTTTCTCATGTTCGAATGCTTGAACTTTGAGAGACGTGGGTTAAGTATCCTACTGCTGTAGAAAAGCCTACCAGTTTTCTGGTTAGGTTTGTGTAGGCTGGCGGTTTCAACCCTAAGACGTTAGACTGGCCTTCTCCTCTGTTGATTACTCAGGGAGACTGGAGACCCCTGGATCGGTTGAAAGGGAATATCCTGTTTCTTTTTTATATACACTATGCAAACCACTGTCCTTTTCATTTTGTGTGTTTTGTTGTTTGTTGTGTTTTGTTCTGGGGGGATAGGACCTTATTCTGTAGCCAGGGCTGGCCTGAAATTCATTTTGTAGTACAGGCTGGCCTCCATTTGCAGCAATCCTCTTATGTCAGACAATTAAGTAACGGGGTACAAGAACATCCTGCCACACCTGGGTGCTATTTTTCTTTTAATTAGGAGACTATACTTTAAAATACCACCAGAGGCTGAAATAGGAGGATTTCAAGTTTGAAGCCATCCTGTAAAACTTAGCCTTACTCTATCTGAAAAAAAAAAGTTTTTAAGGACAAGATGGGGATATAATTTAGTGGTAGAGTGCTTGCCTAGCATATACAAGTCCCAGATTCAATTCTGCAGGAAAAAGAAAAACTACCAGAAAATTCTCCAACTTTAGAAGTGACCACTTCTCAAGAAAAATAACTACTTGGGAAGTAAGGACAGGGGCTGGAGACACGGATCAGTGACTAAAGAGCACTTACTGCCCTTGCAGAGGACCTAGGTTCAGTTCCCAGCACCCACATGTTGGTCACAACCATCCTTACCTCCAGTTCCAAGGGATCTGATGTCCTCTTCTGACCTCTGTGGGCACTACGCATGCACATAGTGTACATAAATACAAGCAGGAGAAATTCTCATATGCCTAAAATAAATCAATCTAATTGACATGCCAGTGTGGTTGAGGGAAACCCGATGGGGTCCTAACCTGAGGTGAAAAGCTATATAATTCATGACTACTGGCAGAGACTTTGTCTTTCCTAGGAATGAGTCCCCTAACTAGTTACCCAATACCAAGTGGTCAGTCCCTCAAAACTCTGTGTGTGTACAATACTAAATGAACTCAGTAGTTTATATTTATATATTTAGTCATATATATGTAAAAATAGTTAAAGAATAAATGACAATGAATTTGAGAGGGAAATATGGAAAGGGTTGTAAGGAGAAAGAGGATAGAGGAATTTATATAACTATATTTTCATTTTTTAATATTCTTAAAGTTTGTAAAATGTCAGGCAGTGCCTGTTTGATTCCCAGCATTCACACTAAAAAAAAAGGCAAAAGTCTCCTTGTCTTCCACAAATGGAACCTTCTGTTAAAGACAAATCTGTGTACACATGAATGCTTGTTTCCCCGCTTTTTCTGCTGTTAGCAGGTGTATCTGACTCTTGGACATGTATGCAGTAACAGTTTCCTTGGGCTCTAGTGCTTAACTTCCCCGGAGGAGTTTTTTGATGCGTGAGCACGATCAGTTTTTTTCACCCATAAGAATCAATTCCCACAATCTCATCCCATACCCTTCTTTCTCAAGGGACACAGATCAAAATAAAAAAAGTAGAATCTTTCTTGGAAAACCTGGGAATTAAGATGAAAGATGAGGAACTTGAAGAACTAATGGCCCAGCTACCATCTGAGGGTGAGTATTGCAGACATCACCCTGTGTGTCAGAGAAATACAGCCCTTCAGTGAACAATGGTTCTCTGCCCTGTTCCTCCTCTTGGCCATTTCAGTGTCGTCATATAGATCAGGGGTTTTAACCTTACTGTGCCATGACCTGTTTCTACATCTTCTATAACAGTGCTCTTCTAAGTAAACAAAAAGAAGCAGGGGATTACAAAGAAACAAGTCATACTAAAATACAGTTTATCAAAACATTCAAATTACAAATTGGTTAATACTTTTTAAAGCAGGTCAAATTGTTGTCACTTTAGGATAGAGATGGGCATAAACAACATTTCAACATATTTGCAACAGTAACACTGGCATGAGCCCTGGGTGACAAAGTTACAGATTTCTGTTCTTTGTGGTTTTCTGCGCACAGTAACAATCAAATGCTAAGTTTCAGTTAGTAGGTAGTGGAAATACGTATATATTTTTTCTCATTCAAGTTCAAGAAATCCCTGAATTCTATCAGTACATGAACACCAAGCCAAGAACCCCTGCTAGCCATCCTGCCCTCCTGCTCCCTGACTTCTCTGTAAGCAGAGCTCTGACAGAGCAACAACAGAGGCTGTATGGAACAAAGTGAAACAGGGAGATAGCTCAGTGGCTGGAGAGGTGGGTCAGCAGTTAATGCCTGCTGCTCTTGTGGAAGATCCGCGTTCGATTCCCAGCACCCATGAAGGGCAGCTCACAACTGTCCAGAATCCCAACTCCGAGGGCACCAAACACCTCTGATGTCTGTAGACACCTGCTCATGTGCGCATATNGCCAGCCCTCTACCACCTTGCAGCTTTCCTAGCACGGGGGGGGGGGGGGGGGGGGGAGGCAGATGTCCTCTACTGGAGAGTGCATCAGACAGGTGCCAGGCATGGAGGGTCCACAGTCTGGAGCTCTCTGGGGACAGATAGAGCCCATGAGGATATGTTGTGTCAATAGATACTATCTGTCCCATTTTTCCTTCTCCTTTGCCTATGGAGTTAATCTAGCAAGTAATTTAAAATATTTGCTCAAATTGTAATTCTCCTGTCTCAGCTTCTCTAATGCTGAGAGGAGGCATGTGGTAACATGCCTGGCAGGTAACTATTTTTAATATTATCCTTTTATATGGCCTGCCATTTGGTTAAACATATAGGTCTGCCTCATGGGCAGAAAAAGGGGAGGCTATAGTGGAATAATAATAATAAAAAAAAAACAAGAAGAAAGCCAAAGAGAAAAATGTGTGTATAACACGCCTTACCAGTTGCCATGTGTGACAACTAAAGTTTCAGACTTAGCACGTTGAGAGCAGTCCTTCTGCCGTTATTTGAGGGTGAAACAGATTTCTAGGTAAGTCATATGTTCATGGCCAGAGATGTAGCTTAGTGGTAAACTGCTCTCCTCACTTGTACAAGGCAGAGAGAGAGAATATTACAGTTTTCTCATCCCTCTCCTTGTGTCTCACCATGTCTTACAGAGGATGGAACCATCTATAAGAAAAGATTACTGAGCGGTGTGGTGCCCATCAAAGGTACGAGTCCCGGGAACGGGACCTGCAGTTCCTGCCTTCACATTTACTGACTGGAGTCTTGCTGTTCCATGATCCCGCGAGTTTGCTGACTCTGGCTCCAGCCTCAGAACTCAGCTACGGCTTACAGCACAGCACCCCTCTTTTGGCTTACAGCACGGCACCCCTCTTTTGGCTTACAGCACGGCACCCCTCTTGTGGTTTGCTGTAGCTGAGGAAGGCGTTGTTAGTCCTGTGTCACTGTAGCAGACCTGAGGATCTTTCAGTTACAAGGTTCTCTCTTTACAGTTTATCTTCAGCTGTGATCACATCAACTGAGACTTGGACCTTAGTGAGGATCCTTTTCTCTCCCCAGCTCCAATGGTGACCAATCTGGGTTGTAAAATAGCCAGCATCTCACTGTCCCCCGGTATTGAATCCATGGTCTTTAAGATCCATAGCATTTTTTAAGGATTTATTTTTTTAAATTATGTGCCGTGTATGTGGGTATATGCACGTGTGTGCAGGAGCCCATAGAGTCCAGAAAAGAGTCACCTCCCCCTGGAATTGCAGTTACAAGTGACTGTGAGCTGCATGATGTGTGTGCTGGGAACCAAACTGCAGTCTTCTGGGAGAGCAGAATGTGCTATGAACCACGGAGCCCCACTCTCAATATCCTTAAAGCTGTCATCTTCCACTCAGGGAATCCCTTGCTTTACTTCCCTCTCCTTATTTCTTAAGGGAAAAAAGTCCACTACTCTAAGCTGCCACTCATTTTGAAGGCTGCAGAATTTGAACTTGAGAAGGAAGACTGTGAGGACCTGATGAATCATCTGCCTTTGGATGGTGAGTATTTCACACACCACTGTGTTGGAGGAAATGCTGCTTGGTGGTTCTGGCCGCCCAGCTAGCTTAGACCCAAAATAATCACACAGAAACTGTATTAATTAAATCACTGCTTGGCCCATGAGCTCTAGCTTCTTATTGGCTATCTCTTATATTAATTTAACCCATTTCTATTAATCTGTGTATCCCCATATGGCAGTGGCTTACTGGCAAAGTTTTGGCATGTCTGACTCTGGTGGCAGCTCCATGGAGACTCTCTGGCACCGCCCTTCTTTCTCCCAGCAAACAGCCTAGCTTTCCCTGATAGTTCTGTTCTTCCCTGCCATAGGCTCAAAGCAGTTCTTTATTCATTAACCAATAAAAGCAACACACAGACAGAAGGAGCTTCCACACCACCACTGTCACCAGGGCTTCTGTGTAAGGCCGTATAAGCATTTAGAAAGAAAGAAAGAAAGAAAGAAAGAAAAAGAAAGAAAGAAAGAAAGAAAGAAAGAAAGAAAGAAAGAAAGAAAGAAAGGAGGAAAGAGAAAGAGAAAACAAAGGCAGTCTCTTCAGAAAGTTTACGAAACATTTGGCTGTGTTCATGTCGTCTATGCAGCCAGTTAACAAGCACGCTTCACCCCTACTTCATCTTTTCTTTCGCATGTTTACCTATTTCTCTTTGATTTGTCCAGTGCTGTAGCCCACATGCTTTAAATTCATGGCCGTCCTCCGGAATGCTGGGATTACTGGCCTAAACGTATAGACCTACTTCTAATGATCATTAATGCTTTTATAAGATCAATTCTGCCAAACAGGAATGTCAAAGAGGCAAAACCAGTGTAATCCATCAGGAAGGAAATGAGAGATGAGCCCAGGGTCTTCATGGGACTGTTCTGTAATTCAGACCCAGGACCAGTGTCTAGAGGGACAGAATGGCAGCCTAGCTCAGAATGGTGTTCAGTGATGGTTGATGTCTTAAAGGCCCAGCTCCTCCTTTTTTGCTTCTTCTTGAGCTAAAATAGTTAATAATAGAAATCATGAAAGATGGCTGAATCCAACTCTTTACAACAAGTATGCATTGTAATTTTTCCAACTGGATTGTCTTTTCTTACAGAAAATGAAATGGTTGATTTAAATGTGTTAATAAATGAAGCAAAAGCTTTTACTGGTAAGTAGTTCTAGTTAAAAGGCATTCACTATTAACTAAGGCCTTAATATTTTATAGAAAAAATACTGTCTTCAAGCATTAGTTTTCTTTTGAGGCTACTACTGACATGCTAAATTAGCTCTCCTACAAAATTAAGAGTTGAATATTTGTTTCACAATCTTATATTTGATTTGGGCTTTGTTTGTATAGGATGTGAGTCTCTCTCTCTCTCACTCTCACTCGCGGGGGGGGGGGGGGGATTCAGGAAACATTACTGGGAAATTAGACCTGCTGTCTAAACAGCCAAAACATAAAGGAGTACTATTCAATCTCAAGGTGGGGTTTGATTTGTATCTGGAATGTGAGCTTTCCCTTCTCTTGAATTAAAGGATAAGTTCACCTTCTTAATAAAGGACACATTCACATGCCCCTTGAACTTATGTAGCTTAACGACTTTTCTTGAGATTTCAATCCTATAACAGGATTGTACCGCATAAATAATTTAAATACTTTTTCCATGATCTAAAACCACCCAGGCTTGGGGCATAGCTTAGTCCAGAAAGAACTTACAGGAGGACCTGAGAGTTAATCCCAGAACCCACAGAAAAAAACTGGACTTGGTGACATCAACTTGTAATCCAAGTGCTAAGAATGCAGAGCCAGCAAATCCCTGGAGTCACTGACAGTCAGCATCGCCTACTCAGCAAGCCCTACCTCCCAGTGAGAAACCCGTCTCAAAATAAATAAATAAATAAATAAATAAATAAATAAATAAATAAATAAATGTGGACACCTCCTGAGGATCAAAGGCTGACCTCTGGCCTCCACATGCACATGTGCGCAGAAGTGCTTGCATAGCCATACACACAGTAAGTAAATAAAATCGTTCATTCATTGCTAAAATTCTTACCTGTTAACAATCTACATCTTTCTAAAGGGAAGAAGGTTGGAGTCGATAATGTAAAGCATGTGCTGAGGAAAGTGGGGCTGGTGCTCCCCAACAAAGCATACAAGGATCTGCAGAGATTCCTGGCAGTTTATGGTGCGTACCGAGGTCACTCCTTCAGGCTTGGGTTAGGAGCGTAGAGGGTGAGCTCATCTGGAATTATACATTGCCCTCCAGGAAAACCCTTTAACAAAACACAATGCTGATGGTAGGGGAAATCTTGTTGCCTGTTCTAGAAGGCTGACAATATCTCCCACAAGCCTCTACCACCAAACTTAAATGTTCCTGCTGCCCTGGGCACACTGCCAACTCTAAATCATGACCAAGAAGAGGAGTGGAGAGATGGCTCAGTGATTCTGAGCACTTGTTGCTCTTGCAGAGGACCAGGGTTTGGTTTCAGCACCCACAAAACAGTTCAAACCCATCTGTAATTCCAATTCCAGTGGATCTGATGCCCTCTTCTGGACTCTGAAGGCTCTACACACATGTAGTGCACAAAACATCCACACAGTTTCCAAAACGAAGAGGAAAATAAGAGAAAGGAAAAAGGGAGAAAGAGGAAGTTAAGACTTTTTAATTCAACCAGCGTATATACTTACAACTCACGTCTTCATATCTGGGTTCATTCTTACACTATGGTAAAAGTAAACCTCCAAACAGATCAGAGGGTTAGTTGAGGAATTTTCCTAGAATCAAGGATGTCGTCTTGAGTTTGTGCTGTCTTTGTCAGTCTTCCCGGCAATTAACTCTATTATGTAGTTACCCTATAACTATATCCTGTTATATTCTGAATGCTCTCTTACCTTCCAGAGGGTGGGAAGATATATAAGAAACGGCTGCTCAAGTGTGTAAAGAATCTCAAAGGTTAGTGAGACGCAGGGTGGACTTGGCCGGGTGTAGTGGCGCATGCCTATAATCCTCCTTGGGAAGCTGAGGCAGGAGGATTGTGATTCAAATCCTGCGTCTACGTAGCAAGTCCCTGTATCAAGGGGAGTAAAGTTCGTGTATAGTATTAGCTCTTCAAATGGCCCAGCTTTGCTTCCTGCCAATTTATTGATCCATCAACATGACTTGTAACTTGTTTCTCATGTTCGAATGCTTGAACTTTGAGAGACGTGGGTTAAGTATCCTACTGCTGTAGAAAAGCCTACCAGTTTTCTGGTTAGGTTTGTGTAGGCTGGCGGTTTCAACCCTAAGACGTTAGACTGGCCTTCTCCTCTGTTGATTACTCAGGGAGACTGGAGACCCCTGGATCGGTTGAAAGGGAATATCCTGTTTCTTTTTTATATACACTATGCAAACCACTGTCCTTTTCATTTTGTGTGTTTTGTTGTTTGTTGTGTTTTGTTCTGGGGGGATAGGACCTTATTCTGTAGCCAGGGCTGGCCTGAAATTCATTTTGTAGTACAGGCTGGCCTCCATTTGCAGCAATCCTCTTATGTCAGACAATTAAGTAACGGGGTACAAGAACATCCTGCCACACCTGGGTGCTATTTTTCTTTTAATTAGGAGACTATACTTTAAAATACCACCAGAGGCTGAAATAGGAGGATTTCAAGTTTGAAGCCATCCTGTAAAACTTAGCCTTACTCTATCTGAAAAAAAAAAGTTTTTAAGGACAAGATGGGGATATAATTTAGTGGTAGAGTGCTTGCCTAGCATATACAAGTCCCAGATTCAATTCTGCAGGAAAAAGAAAAACTACCAGAAAATTCTCCAACTTTAGAAGTGACCACTTCTCAAGAAAAATAACTACTTGGGAAGTAAGGACAGGGGCTGGAGACACGGATCAGTGACTAAAGAGCACTTACTGCCCTTGCAGAGGACCTAGGTTCAGTTCCCAGCACCCACATGTTGGTCACAACCATCCTTACCTCCAGTTCCAAGGGATCTGATGTCCTCTTCTGACCTCTGTGGGCACTACGCATGCACATAGTGTACATAAATACAAGCAGGAGAAATTCTCATATGCCTAAAATAAATCAATCTAATTGACATGCCAGTGTGGTTGAGGGAAACCCGATGGGGTCCTAACCTGAGGTGAAAAGCTATATAATTCATGACTACTGGCAGAGACTTTGTCTTTCCTAGGAATGAGTCCCCTAACTAGTTACCCAATACCAAGTGGTCAGTCCCTCAAAACTCTGTGTGTGTACAATACTAAATGAACTCAGTAGTTTATATTTATATATTTAGTCATATATATGTAAAAATAGTTAAAGAATAAATGACAATGAATTTGAGAGGGAAATATGGAAAGGGTTGTAAGGAGAAAGAGGATAGAGGAATTTATATAACTATATTTTCATTTTTTAATATTCTTAAAGTTTGTAAAATGTCAGGCAGTGCCTGTTTGATTCCCAGCATTCACACTAAAAAAAAAGGCAAAAGTCTCCTTGTCTTCCACAAATGGAACCTTCTGTTAAAGACAAATCTGTGTACACATGAATGCTTGTTTCCCCGCTTTTTCTGCTGTTAGCAGGTGTATCTGACTCTTGGACATGTATGCAGTAACAGTTTCCTTGGGCTCTAGTGCTTAACTTCCCCGGAGGAGTTTTTTGATGCGTGAGCACGATCAGTTTTTTTCACCCATAAGAATCAATTCCCACAATCTCATCCCATACCCTTCTTTCTCAAGGGACACAGATCAAAATAAAAAAAGTAGAATCTTTCTTGGAAAACCTGGGAATTAAGATGAAAGATGAGGAACTTGAAGAACTAATGGCCCAGCTACCATCTGAGGGTGAGTATTGCAGACATCACCCTGTGTGTCAGAGAAATACAGCCCTTCAGTGAACAATGGTTCTCTGCCCTGTTCCTCCTCTTGGCCATTTCAGTGTCGTCATATAGATCAGGGGTTTTAACCTTACTGTGCCATGACCTGTTTCTACATCTTCTATAACAGTGCTCTTCTAAGTAAACAAAAAGAAGCAGGGGATTACAAAGAAACAAGTCATACTAAAATACAGTTTATCAAAACATTCAAATTACAAATTGGTTAATACTTTTTAAAGCAGGTCAAATTGTTGTCACTTTAGGATAGAGATGGGCATAAACAACATTTCAACATATTTGCAACAGTAACACTGGCATGAGCCCTGGGTGACAAAGTTACAGATTTCTGTTCTTTGTGGTTTTCTGCGCACAGTAACAATCAAATGCTAAGTTTCAGTTAGTAGGTAGTGGAAATACGTATATATTTTTTCTCATTCAAGTTCAAGAAATCCCTGAATTCTATCAGTACATGAACACCAAGCCAAGAACCCCTGCTAGCCATCCTGCCCTCCTGCTCCCTGACTTCTCTGTAAGCAGAGCTCTGACAGAGCAACAACAGAGGCTGTATGGAACAAAGTGAAACAGGGAGATAGCTCAGTGGCTGGAGAGGTGGGTCAGCAGTTAATGCCTGCTGCTCTTGTGGAAGATCCGCGTTCGATTCCCAGCACCCATGAAGGGCAGCTCACAACTGTCCAGAATCCCAACTCCGAGGGCACCAAACACCTCTGATGTCTGTAGACACCTGCTCATGTGCGCATATCCACACAGAGACACATCACACACAATCAAAACCTGCATACACATGCAGGCCCATATGCAATGAGATAAAAATCTGCCTGCTTCCCTGAAATGATGCAGATGGAAACACAGCTCTGAGCAGGAGTGTGACACTGTTAATTAGGAAACAGCATCATGCAGTCCAAACCCAGCGGACTCTCCGAAGAGAGCCTTTCCCGCCCTCCTTGCCTGAAGCATTCCTAGCTTCCATAAATTTTTATTCCAGGGTCCTGTTTCATTTTTGATAGTGAAAATTATCCCTTTTGTTTGTACGTTCATTGTTTGTCTTCCTCACTAGATTGTACACTAGGAACTCATCCTCTTTCTTGAGGATGCTTCCTTTAACACCCACAAGTCCTCACAAAGTACCCAGCACAAGGAAGGTACTCTGTATTTGCTGAGGGACCGACAAAATGAAAATCTGTTAAGGTCATATTCTCCTTATACATAACGATGCTAAGTCATTTCTTTGCTGAGATGTTTCTGGTGGTCTCTGAAGTAAAGGAAAAACAAAGATACTATAATTATTCATTTCACAGTATAAACTGTCTATGTTCCAAGATAGCACTATCTTGGATAAATCCATAAAATTCTAAAGAAAACTAGAAAAAAATCACTGAATTCTTAGGTTCTTCATAATTTCAGAAGGTAATGGAGTGTAACTTTTATGAATATTAGAAACATGGAATCATCTTCCCTAATTTACAGGTAACAGAACAGTGGATGTAAATGAACTGATCGATGTCGTCAGTTATATCAAGGGTAAGTGTCAAGCCATGATAGGAAACACTTATAAATAACATGTTAAGTACTTAGCAATTAATGCTGGGCAAGTATCTTTCCCATTCACAAAGGTTGCTGCACCACTGCTTGGCAAGTTTACAGTCTTTTATATGGCATCTTTTCACTTCTGTGGATTCACTGACTTCAGGTAAACCATAACATGTATTTATACGATCCTTACAGTATTGTGTGAAATTTTCACTGAAAATTCCCAATGTAGAATCAGATGTTTATCATCAAAGGAAATCAGAGCAGGAACCTGGAGGCAGGAACTGATGCAGAGGCTATGGAGGGGTGCTGCTTACTGGCTTGCTCCTCATAACTTGCTCACGAGCCCAGGGATGGCACCATCCACAATGGGCCGGCCCCACCCCCTATCAATTACTAATTTAAAAAAATGCCTTGTAGCTGGATCTTATGTAGGTATTTTCTCAATTTATATTTCCTTCCTTCAGATAAATCTAGTTGTGTGTCATGTTGACCTAAGAAGAGCAAGCTCAGATATCAAAACACAAAGAACCAGCCACACCCTTTACCCCAGAGAACCCCCTCCTAGAAAAGTATCCTACAGGAGGACTTTACTGGATGAAATTTAAAATCCTATTTCAAGATTTTTGTTCTCATACTAAGTAATAAGGGAACTATAATAAGTTAGAAATATCTAAGTGTATATAAGAGAAGCACTATACAAACCATTATGTAGTAAGAGAACCAGAAACTTGAGACCAGCCTGAGCTTCATCAAGACTTTTTCAAAAAAAAAAAAAAAATACAACATTAGTTAAGTGGGATAGCATGAATGAAAACACTAACTATAAAGATTATATAGAGTATTCTCTTTACTGTATTTATACTAAAACTGGAAGAGTACACAGGTTAGTGTGGCCTCTACACAAGGATCATACACAAATTCATGAAGTAGTCCATACTTTTCAAGATATATAAAGAACTGCAAAAAAAAAAAAAAAAAAAACACAAACACATAAGCTAGGTATGGTGATGCATGCCTTTGGCCCCAGCACAGGGGAGGCCAAGGCAGGTGGATCTCTGAGTTCAAGGCCAGCCTGGTCTTCAGAGCGAGTTCCAGGACAACCAAAGCCACACAGAGAAACCCCCTCTCAAATAACCAAAACAGTAAATAAACACCTAAAATACAGTTTACCCAGTTAATAAATAGTACATTGAATAAAACAGTTCTCAAAAAGGAAATGCAAACAGCCAATACATGCTTTAAAAGGTCCTCAGCATCCTTAACTAGCATAGCTATGCAGAGAGTTTGGGTATAGAGTTTATTTAGTGGGTTATGGAGAAGGAAAGGAGGGGGAGAAGGTGGGAAGAGGAGGGAGGGAGAAGAGAGAGGGGCAGAAGTTGCCTCTCCAGAAGAAGGGGAGATAGAAATGGGGGGGGGACCAGAGAGGAGGTCGAAGGGGAAGTTGGGAGTGGGACAAGGTACATAGGAGGGAGAGAGAGAGAGAGAGAGAGAGAGAGAGAGAGAGAGAGAAGACCTGAGAGGAGGTAGGGCTGTGGAAGGGGGTGTTGGGAATGGGGCTTGTCTCTTAAAGGGACAGGATACCAAAGTGAAAGACCAGGCCAGCAGATTACAACAGTACCTTAAAAAATATTTATAAGGAAATTATTTTAGGTTGAAAAAGCAAACACAAGCCAAGCATGGTGACACACATCTATAATTTCAGCACTCAGGAAACTGAGGCAGGAGAATCACAAATTTGAGATCAGCCTGGTCTTCATAGTAAGATAAAGTACAAAATTACATTTACATTAGATTTCCACATCAAATAAATAGTCATTATCAAAGACTAGAAAGAAAAACTGAGAAATGTTTTCTCATAGGGTAATGGGATTTTTGCCCCTCCCACCCCTTATAATAGCCTTTAGTGTGGTGAAATCTCTTATAGTTAATAGGAAAAGCTTTATTCCTTCTGCTGAAATGAGATGAGTTGTTGGAATGCATAGCAACCAAAGAAGTAAATTACAGGCAAATATAATTACTAAATAAAAATTAAAGTTTCCACTGGTGTGTATTCCCAGGTACAATGATATATACCGCTAGTCCCAATCTCCTTAGGAAACTGAGGCAAGAAGACTGCATGTTTGACGCCAGCCTGGGCCACATAGGCAGCATGAGCAACACAGGGAGGCCTTGTCAAGAAGAAGGGAGGCTGGTGTATAGAGAAAACCATATTCAAGTGAGGAAGAGGAGGAAGGAAATGTTACTAAAGCCTTGCTTATAGCTGGTCTGGTGCAGGTTCTGCACAGTCCTCGGGGTTTCCAATCCTGGAGTCTGTCCTTCGTCTCCTCCTGCAAAGCAGAACTATAGATGCAGGATTTCCCAGTGCTCCTTGTCACGGTCCACGTACGCACGGACAGCACTTACCATCCTCTGTAAGAATTGTTTCTATAACTGCACCCCATCTCTCCTCCTTCCTAAGGAGAAACCATTGACAGCCAGAACTTGGAAAAGTTCCTGGCAAACGAGGGGATCGAGCTCACCGAGGACGAGATGAAGGACCTGATGCCTTACCTGGAATTTGACGGTGAGGTTTCTGCCTGGGAGGTGGTGTCTCCTTGAAAGTGCACGTTCACAGCCAGTATAGATGATCCTCAGAAATGATCTTTTCTGTATCACCTAAAGCACTTGAGTGTGTGTGTGTGAATGACCTTCTGTCTTAGTTAGGATTGCTCCTGCTGTGACAAAACACCGTGACCGAAAGGCAAGCTGGGAGGAAAGGGTTTATTCAGTTCACACTTGCACATCACTGTTCATCGCTGAAGGAAGTCAGAACAGGAGCTCAAACGGGGTGGGAACCTGGAGGCAGGAACTGATACAGCAGCCATGGAGGCATGCTGCTTACTGGCTTGCTCCTGTGATTGCTCAGTCTGCTTTCTTATAGCAGGACCAGGAGCCCAGGGATGGCATCACCCAGTGGTCCGGGCCCGCCCTCATCATCCACCAATTAAGAAAATGCCCTACAGCCAGATCTTATGGAGGCATTTTCTCAATTAAGATTCCCTCTTTTCAGATAACTCTAGCTTGTGTGTCAAGTTGACATGAGACCAGCCAGCACATCTTGTTGAAATGCAGGCTTGGTTTCAGGTCTAGAGTGAAGCCTTGCATGTCTAACAAGCTCCAATGTGGCACCAGTGTTCCTGGTCCATCGGCCACATCTTGACTGCCGAAGATCTAACAAGGAAAGAGACTATGCCTGTGCTTTCCTTTAGAAATCCCCAAGTAAAACCAACAAGTCCGGGGTGGGGGGGGGAGGCACAATTCTAACCCAAAAGGGAAGTACAAAAATAGGAGTGAGGAGGCTCTGGAGAAGCAGGGTTTGGGCTGATTGATGATTTACTTTCTGAGATGCAGGTCAGTGATGGGGCACTCACCTAGCGTCATGTGCAAGGCCCTGGGTTTGAATTCTAGCACCATCAAAATAAACAAATAAAAGCCAGGTGTGGTGCTGTGCCTCTTTAATCCTAGTACTCAGGAAGCAGAGGCAGGTGGATTTCTGTGGGTTCAAGGCTAGCCTGACTACAGAATGAGCTCCAGGACACCCAGGGCTACACAGAGAAAACCCTGTCTTGGAAAAACAAAATGACTATATATATTTATTTATATTTATATAAAGCTACAGCAAAGCCAACGTGCTCCTCAGCCTTCTCCTCCACGGCTTCCGTCCTGTTCTGCGGCAAACCACGGAGCCATGATTCTCTAAAGCCGCGTTGTTCCTGCTTTTGTCCTTTCGCTTCACCACCACTTTGTCTGGAATGTTCCCCCTCTACTCCATCCCCACCCACAGTGCACTCACGAAATCCTGCTTGACTGACCCATGCTCCCTTTTGTGTTCTCTGATTCCTAGTGCACCATTCACCCCTCAACCAAACAGCACCGTTTCTTCTCTAAATTCTGATAGGATTTTGTTAGAGACAGAATATATCCCTTTTTATACACTGCTGGCATCTCCCAACAGATTTTAAAGTTCTTAAAAGAAAAAGTCCAATATCAAATGCTCAGAATACAAAAAGGAATGAATCACAGACTTGTCCTCAAAGAGCTTTGGGTCCAGTAGAGGAGGAAGCACATAAAATAATGTGATATATAATGTGATAAATATATGCAGAGGAACATATGGCTAAGATTGAAGTTTTTTGGGGGAAAGACTGGCTTACCAAGTTGCAGGGCACCTTTCCAGTCAGAGACAGACCGTGTCCTCACTATTGTAAAGCACATTTGTGATGGTTCTCAAAAAAGACTTCCAGGTCACCAAAAATGAATAAAGTGTGGAGGTAGAAGAGCTAATTGGGAAAAGGAAAGGATTAGCAGAAGTTAGATGGGGAGAAAAGATTATCAGGGATGACTAGAGCCATACATGGAAGACGATGATATGATGGAACCCACTGTCGGGTTCTAACATGTGTAACTAATATATGCTGGTAAAGGTCGGGTGGTGGTGGCGCACACCTTTAATCCCAGCCCTCAGGAAGCAGAGGCAGGCCGATCTCTGTGAGTTCGAGGCCAACCTAGTCTTTTTAAAAAGACTTGTCAGAACAAAGAGCAGGTCCTTCCCTCCTTATTGTAACATTTGAGCATATGCCAACATATTTTTCTTTATATCTACACTTTTACCTATCTCATAGGTAACATATATATTATATACATATTATATCTATATCTGTGCTTTCCAGTGAGATGGCTCAGCCACAAGGGCGCTTGCTGCCAAGCCTGACAACCTGAGTTTGATCCCCAGAACACACATGGTGGAAGGAGAGAACCAACTCCTACAAGTTGTCCTCTGATCTCCATGTGCATGCCGTGGTACTCATGCATGCATACGGGGGTGCATGAATGCATGCACGTGCACACACACACAGATGTTATAAAAATTAAATATATATCTATTATCATCTGTTGGGAAAAGATACTTGTAGATTTGAGGCAGACTCTGTGGACAGTGCTGCTTCCCCACTTATGCCCTATAATTTTGAACCCCGTTCCTTCGGCTGTGAAAGAGGAGTGGCACTGAGGAAGGAGAACTACATGTCTCCTGCAGAAGTCATTATCGGCCTCACCAGCCTCAGCTGAGAGAAAGGCTCACCCAGATTCCAAAGCAAATGCATACAAGTTCAGCCTAGTACTTTCTGTGGGAGGCCAGGGGCGCTTGAGGTGACAGGAAATCATGTAATAGGTTGTTTTAAATAATTTCACAAATTTTGATTAACCTTACTAAGTTTTTATGTGGCTGCCTCTGTGTCTGAATCAAATGTTTTACAGGAAACGGGAAGGTTACCATCCGATCCATAATGGAGGGCCTGAGGAAGTTTAAACGTGAGTGAAAACTTACTTAAGTGCAATTTGAAATTGATAATCTGATGGCATATATTAATTTTCATATGTGTTTTCTTGGTTGTAAAAGTTCCCCTCTGCTAGTCACCTTCAGGGCTGTACACAGCGTTGACTCTTAACCTTGTCTTCCAGCCAAAGGAATGATGAATCTGCACAAGCTGTTAAGAACTGCCAGCAGCATGAACGGTAGGTTACAGCTTTAGCTCTGCCGGATTTTCCATTCCTGTCTGTCAGCTTGTTTCCATCCGCTAGTCAGTAAGATGCCTCTGCATTATCCTTCCAACTATTTCTCTAAGTTCCTCTGGCCGCGGCAGTCCATATTACACTGTATCACATTGCGAATCAGACATCTCAAATTGTTTTCTCGTGTATTCAGTGATATTTTAATTACATTATGACATCTTCAGTATCACCGCATAGTTTATAATGTAGCTGGTTCTGACTCTAGTCTTAAGGGAAGCAATTCAGTTGTTTGTTGAGCTTTTGTGTCCGTACCAGTACAGCAAAAGAGGTGAATTTAGATCCAGTCAGGGTAGCACACAGCTTTAACCCCAGCACTCAGGAGACAGCAGCAGGAGGAGCTCTAAGTTAGAGGCTAACCTGGTCTACAAAATGAGTTCCAGGATGACCAGGGCTACACAGAGAAAACCCTATCGAGAGAGAGAGAGAGAGAGAGAGAGAGAGAGAGAGAGAGAGAGAGAGAAAGACATGAGCAGCAAGATGGTTCAGTGGGTAAAGGCACTTGCCACCAAGCCTGTGTTTGTTTATCCCCAGGACCCACATGCTGGAGCAAGGTGGAATGGCTCAGCAGTTAAGAGCACTGGCTGCTCTTCCACAGGGCCGGGTTCACTCCCAGCACCCTCATGGCACAACTGTCTGTAACTCCAGTGCAGGGACTCTGAAGCCTCTTCTGGCCTCCGAGGGCATGCATGTGGTGCGCAGACATACATGCAGTCAAAACACCCATCTACTTAAAATTAAATTAAACAAACAAATGAAGTTTGTCCTCTACCTTCCACACACCCGCTGTGGCACATGCAAGCACAGATACACGCACAACAAATGTAACAAAATTTTAAAGCTTTTTAAATGATAACATGGTTGAAGATGCAGAGAGAATAAAGAGAATGACGCCCTCACTAAACTGGCTAGATAATTGAGAAATTGGGCAGCTGGATTATTACCATTGTTGAACTAATTGAAGTATACATGCTCAAATATTACCAAAAGAAAAATATTATAATCACATATGCATGTATGCATATAACAGTAGTGGATGGAAAAGGAGGCCATGAATTTCAAAGAGAACAAGGAGGGGGAAATGATGTGATTATATTATACTGTCAAAAGAAAATTATCAAAATCACAATATTTAGTAGGATGTAGAACATAGGCTAGATTATTTAATATTATAATTTGCTATAAAATTGGTGCTAGAAACATTTTCTTTGTTTTAAAGAATTATTTCATGTGTAAAGATGTTTTCCTGCATGTGCACCATGAGTGTGCAATGCTCCCAGAGGCCAGAAGAAGGTGTCGGAACTCCCGTAGGACTGGAGTTAGAGATGATTGTAAGCCAGCATGTGGGTGCTGGGAATCAAACCTGGATCATCTGGAAGAGCAGCCAGCACTCTTAACCACTGAGCCATCTCTCCAGCCCCCTAGCATTTTTTTAATCGTTTTTCCAAGAATAAATCAAGCACTTGAGAGGCAGAGACAGGCAAAGCTCTCTTTGAGGTCAGCCTGGTCTACAGAGTGAGTTCCAGGGCAGCCAGGGTTAAATTTAGATAGGACCCTATTAAAAATCGGTGAGTAAAAGTTGATACGTGAGGAGTGGGTGGTGGTCCATGCATCCATAGCAGTCAGAAGGGAAGGCAGGGCAAGTGTCCATCAGTGGATGGATGGGGAAACGAACTGTGGTACTCACAGGGGTTACCATTCAGCTTTTTAGAAGAAGGAAACTGCAAGCCACACCACAACACAGATGAACCTCAAGAGTATTATGAATGAAATAAGCCAATCACTCACACACACACACACACACACACACACACACACTACTATATTATTCTACATATAGGAGATGTCTAGAGTGGTCAGGTTCACAGATGTAGAATGTAGGGTGGTCATGAGGAGTTGGAAGGAGGGGAGAGAGAGATGTTATGTAATAAACACAGTGTTGGCTGTGTAAGATGAAAACATTCAGTAGCTGGTATAGTTAACAGCACTGAACCATATACTTAAGAACTGTTGATCTGGAGCAGGGGCGTGGCTCTGTGGTAGACAGAGCACTTGCCAGCCTGCAGGAGACCCTGGTGTTGGTCCCCAGCACACACAAAAATAGAAGTGAGGGAGTTGCTTCTATACAATACAGATCTTACCACTATTGATAAATAACAATCAGGAGCTTTTACTTCTATTAGGCACTGGCCCATGCCTGCAGTCCTACACGCTTGTGAGGCACTGGCCTATGCCTGTAGTCTTACATGCTTGTGAGGCACTGGCCCACGCCTGCAGTCCTACACGCTTGTGAGGCTGGGGCAGGAGAATTTTGAGCTCAGGAATTTGAAGCCAGCCTAGGAAAACATAATGAGGTTCTCTCTCTCTCTCAAAAAAAAAAAAAAAAAAAAAAAAAAAAAAAAACACAGTTTAGGGCTGGGTGATGGCTCAGCGGATAAAAGCTCACGCGATACTGTTTGATTGCCAGAACCCACATGGTGGCCCACAGCCATCTATAAATCCAGTTCCAGGGAGTCCAATGCCCCCTTCTGGCCTCTCTGAGCACTAAGCACACACACATGTATACAGACACACAGGCAGGCAAAACACCTAGACACATAAAATAATTTTTAAGTTATTTTTAAAATAATAAAATAGGGGATGGAGAGATGACTCCATTAGGAACACTCATTTGTTGCAAAGGACCCAGGTTCAATTCCCAGCACCCACATGGAGGCTCACCACCTCCTTAGATACCAAGTATGTGTGTAACTGGAGACTGCTCATGCATTTTCCAGCCACCCAGACCTGAATAATCACACAGAAACTTTATTAATTACAACACTGCTCAAGCCTATTAGCTCAGGCTTGTTATTAACTAACTCTTACATCTTAAATTAACCCATTTCTATTAATCTGTGTATTACCATGAGGCTGTGGCCTACTGGAAGGATCCAGCATGTCCTTCTCCTTCGGCAGCTACATGGCATCTCCTTGACTCCACCTACTCTCTCTATATATCTCTTACAGACTGGCTATATTCTGCCAAGGCATATCTGAAGCAGCTTCTTTATTAGCCAATGGTAATAAAACATATCCATAGCATGCAGAGAGGAAAACCCACATCATATGTAATACACAGATATACATATAGACAAAACACTCATTCACATAAAGTAGTAAAAATAAATCTAAAAAATTAATAAAAATAAATCTTCAAAAAGAAATCAGGCCAGGCAATGATGGTGCACACCTTTAATCCCAGCACTTGGAAGGCAGAGGCAGGCAGATCTCGGTGAGTTCAAAGCCAACCTGGTCTATAGAGCAAGTTCCAGGACAGGCTCCAAAGCTACAGAAAAACCCTGTTGTGAAATAAATAGATAGATAGATAAATAAATAAATAAATAAATAAATAAATAAATAAATAAATAGAAACCAAAGTTTTACGTCTTGCCAGCTCCACCCAATAGGAACTGACATTATCCCCCTATTTAAAAATAGGAAGCCCTTAATATATGTTGAATTAATTTAGAAATTAAACCTTCCTCCTCTTTCTCTGTGTTCCTGTGTTCCTGACCAGAATAGGAGAGAAGTTTGAGAAACTTGGTGAAGCTGTTATCCTCATATTGAAGCGTTCAGACCTAGAGCAGGGAACTAGAATTACTACCGCTGAGTAAACCTGAAGCCTTTGGAGCAGTCTGAGCCTGTGTTCATCCACGGTGGATTGATTACAGGTCCTCCTGGCCCTGTGCTGGAGTGGTTGTTGTTGTTGGCTTGTTTGGGGGGAGCTTTTGGTTTGGTTTGTTTGGTTTGGTTTTGGTTTTTGGAGAGGAGGTCTTACTTTGTAGCCCTGGCTGGCCTCGAACTTTCTAGGTAAACCAGACAGGCTTTGAACTAACAGAGATCTTCCTGACTCCGCCTCCCAAGTGCTGGAATTAAAGGCATGTGCCACCACTGACTTCGAGGGTTTAAAGGCTATAAGAAAAGTCAGAACATAAATATTATGATTTCTGCTGAGTTGTCAATTGGTTTTCCTTTTAGTTTTTCAAACAGAATCTGAAACTTACAGTCCTACTGCTTCAGCCTTCCAAGTACTAAGATTATAGGCACACATCACCATACCTGGCCATGTTAATTGCTCTATTTAGCTCGCTTTTCCCACTGTTAAAGAATGCAAGCGGGCTGGAGAGATGGCTCAGCAGTTAAGAGCACTCAGTGCTCTTCCAGAGAACCCGAGTTCAAGTCCCAACATCCACATCAGGTGGTTCTCAACTGCCTGTAACTCCAGCTCCAGATAACCCCATGCCTCTGGCCTCTGTGGATACCAGGCCTCATATGCATAGACACATACATATACACATAGGTCTAAATAATTAATTTTAAAATTATAAGCACGAGAATTTTTGCTCCCTTTCTAAACTTAAAAAAAATAATGAAATTATTTTTAATTACTCCTCAATCAAGGGACCTGGGTAAAATACTTTTCTTAAGTAAGTTTCAGCACTAAAGAAAATATACCATATAATTTGAGGCCAAAAAAATCCTCTTCTCTATGGTCTCAACAGGCTTAAATTGCTATAAGTCTGTAATTCGTTTCCTTGTGTGCCACTGGGGTACCGAGTGAACCCCACTGAGCACACATTTGCCCTAACCCTGGGAGGAGCCCTCAGGCCATCTTCTCCCTGAGTCCAGGCCTGAGCAGTGAATGAGGTCACAGCTGTATGAGGGAACAAACCCTTTATTGGATTCTTGATCTGAAGGCTTAGATGGTTGTTGGTTGCTAATGATTGGTTAGTAGCACAGCTCAAAAGTAGGTAAATGTCAGAATTTTGTCTGATTCTAGACTGAGTTCTTTAAAAAAAGTATATCTGTCAACTATATAAGAGATTGGAAGTATTTTTAAATAATGATTATTTTGCGCCGTGGGGACAATTTCCCAGCACCTTTCAAGAGCCTAAATTGTTGAGCGTCTCTGAGGCTCCCAGCTTCCTGGTAGGTTCTAGATCCTGAACACGGTGGAATGGAGTTGTTTAGAAACAGCTGCCCTTTGGGTTCTGAGGCAGTGACCTGGGAGGAAGGAACTCTAACCAAACATTCTGGAACTTTTTTTCCTGATTTAACAGTACTGGCTGATTCATCATTCCCAAGCTAGCAAGCAGCCCTGTCTGCTTGTCAGCGAGCTTCCTGCTATACACTAGAGTTGGGAAAGCTAACTGGAGGATAAAAACCCAAAGGGGACGACTGCCTCCCAGCCCCTGGTCTGCAGGCCGCTTCTCCAGCCATGCAGAAGAAAGGGAGGACTAGGAGAGCCACAGTATCCAGAGTCTGTGCAAGAGCCTATCGTCTCTGCTCATATAAGAAAGCAGTGGACAGGGATGTGGGTGGGAGAAGGAAAGCCTCAGAAAATGTATTCACTACGTGGTAGGTGTTCTAAGTCTGAAATAAGCAGGAAGGCTTTAACGCTTTCTTCTTTGCCAGTTGTGGCAGGAAATAAATTTCAGATTAAATTTTGTCCTTAATTTTTCCTATATATTTTTACGTGCTTTGTATCATATACTATTTTTTAATTAGTTAAGGTATATAATTTGATGATTTTTGATGTGTATACAATGTAAAATAATTTCTGCAATCAAACAAGCATACGAGTCACCATAGTTATTATGGAGCAGAAGCACCCAGGCAAATTTCGAAACTCTGTAAACTGGTTCTACCTAGTCACGGTGTTATCTGTTGGGGTGGTTTTTGCTCTTTAGGCTTTTTGGAGAGCCAGCCACACAGCTCCCAAATAAATCACACATGGAGGCGTATTCTTACTTATGAATGCTCTGCCTTAGCGTGGCTCGTTTCTAGCCACTTTTTCTTATCTAATTGTCCTGACTACCTTTGCCTTTGGGCTTTTATCTTTCTCTATTTCTGTGTACTTTACTTCTTATTCCGTGACTGGCTGGGTGGCCGGCTGACTGGGGGGCTGGGGGGCTGGGAGGCTGACCCCTAATGTCCTCCTCTCCTTATTCTCTCATTGCTCCTCATTCTCATTCTCAATTCTCCTTTTGTTTATACTCTGCCTGCCAGTCCTGCCTGCCCTTGCTCCTGCCTCACTGTTGGCCGTTCATCTCTTTATTAGACCATCAAGTGTTTTAGGAAAAAAAACAAATCACAGCTTCACAGAGTTAAGCAAATGCAGTGTTAACAAAAGTCACGCCAGGCGGTGGTAGCACACGCCTATAATCCCAGCTCTTGGAGGCAGAGGCAGAGACAGGAGGATCTATGTGAGTTCAAGTCCAGCCTGGTCTACAAGAGCTAGTTCTGGGACAGGTACCAAAGCTATAGAGAAACCTTGTCTCAAATAAAAACAAGTCAGACACCTGAGAATAATATTGCCTGGCAGTTAGCTTTAGGTCTTCACAAGCTACTCATCTGGCACACTGAGGATCTGTGCTCCTTACCACGCCCCCTTCCCACCATTCTGTGCTTCTGTGGGTTTGACTATTTTGGATTCTACGCGCAAGCGAGAAAATATTTCTCTTTGTGTGCCCTACTTATTTTGCTTAGCATTTATTTAGGTTTCTTAAGACTTACAATTTTTACTTTTGTGTATACATACATACATACAGATGCCCGTGCAGGCCAGAAGAGGGTTCTGAATCCTTTGGGACTGGACTATACAGATGGTTGTGAGCACAGCCCTGTGGGTGCAGGGAATCTGGGGCCTCTGGCAAGAGCAGTAAAAGCTCTTAACCACAGAGCCATCTCTCCAGCCCCAGTGTTTATTTTTATATAAGATCAAAGAAACATTATTTGAAAGGAAGAACCGTGACAAATTTTGCTTATAGATCTTCCTACAGACCTCTCCACACAGCCCTCCAATTTCTCATGCAATGCTAGCTTGGATTTACATACGATGCCATGCTTTGAAATCCTAGACTTTTTAACCTCAGGCTTTGCTCGGGAAAGCTGGGAAAGAATACAAAGAAACAATTGTATTAATAGAGATGGTGGCACCTGCCTGCAGATCTAGTGCTGGGAAGGTTCACTCAGGAAGGGGAAAAAGGAATAAATGGATGGATGGATGGATGGATGGATGGATGGATGGATGGACGGAGATTCTGTGGATTCATCCTTTCCTGTATCTTCTGAATTCCAGAAAGAGTCTCTGGCCCCATGGCAGTTTCAGGAATTAAATCAACACTGAAGCTGAAGCCCCTCAAAGCACCCGCCTTTCACAAAAGGTAGGTAATAAAATATGAGGAGATTACGCAAAGTTTTCAGGTAATGACTATACAGATCACATACAGAAACTACGCTAAGAAAATTAGAATATTCTATTCTGTGGTGAAGTTCCTTAGAACATCTAAATTAAGGAGATGTTTCTATTGTATTTATTTTGTATGTGTGCTCACATGCACACACCACAACATGTATACAGAGATCAGAGGGCAGCTTGCAGGAGTCAGCTCTCCCCATCCACTCCATGGGTCCCAGGAATCGAATTCAGACCCTCGGACTTGGCAGCAAGCACCTTCCCGCTGAACCATTCTGTTGGCTTCTGGGGAGATTTTTTAATAAAAAGAAAAAAATGAACATTCTTTTTGTCTAAAAAAGCAGAATTCTCCTTCCCGTTCTCCCAAAGGAAGTCCAGTGAATTAGCCATGCGCAGCCCCACTAGGATACGAGGGAGATTCTCCTGCCAGTAGCAATGCTTTTTCTCAGTCGGCTGCCAACAGAGTCTAGCAAACAGCCACTGATGGCTGAAAGTGAGAACCCAAGATACACTCTGTCACACAGCAGAAGGTGAAACACCCCTCTCTGACTCTTGGCCACTTGGAGGGTGTTCTCAGCTTTACCACTGCTAAAGCAATATACTTCTGACATTTTTAAAGAAAGAAGTAGGAAAGCAACCTCATAGCAGTCAAACCCCTCTCTTCACTAAGACCACAGGCCATGGTAATCCCCACACTAGGTAAGAGGCGGGGGTGGGTTTGTTTCAAATATGAAGTTACCATGCTCCTTTGAAACATTATAAAATAGACTATTTGAAATGGTTCCTTTGGGGTTTTTTGCTTTTTCTTTTTTCTTTTTTTTTTTTTCCCCATTTTTCTTCCTCGTTTTCAAGACAAGGTTTCTCTGTAGACCAGGCTGGTCTTGAACACACAGAGATCTGCCTGCATCTGCCTCCTGAGTGCTGGGATTAAAGCCGTGTGACACTACCACCTGGGTCCGCGGGTGATTTTTACTTGTAATTAACAAAAGCCTTTGTCTACCTTGCCTTCTGGCTTTACTTGGGGTTTTGAGGACATCATGTTTCTGTGTCTGCTTACATCTTTTACTTCATACAAAAATAAGCTGTTTTTCTTTGGAAATGCAACACTTACGTAGTAACCAGGGTGGGAGCAGACCTTAGTAGATAAACGGAACACAAAAGGAAGAAATCATGTTAGTAAAAGCTGGGAAAATACAAGTTAGGTACAATTTCATGCCTAAAAGTTGAGAACAGGACATCTTAAGACCCCATCACATCCTTCTATCCCAGGCTACTCTGACATCAGTGAGATCTAGTGCCCTGGAGGGTAGAAAAGTAAACCACAAACACTGGGGCTGGAGAGATGGCTAAGTTAAGAACACTGGCTGCTCTTCCTGAGGACCTGGGTTCAGTTCCCAGCAGCCACATGGAGGCTTGATGCCCCTTCTGGCCTTGGTTACCAAGCATGCATATGGTACACGTACATACCTGCAGGCAAGCAAGACACTCATATATAAAAGATTTGTAGAATAAATCTTTGTCAATGTTTTTTTTTTAAAAAAAATAAAACCACAAAAGTAAGAGATTCCATATTCTTAAAACCTTTGTTAGCTGGGCGGTGGTGGCGCATGCCTTTATTCCTAGCACTCAGGAGGCAGAGGCAGGTGAATTCTAAAATAATTCTAAAATTATTCTAAAGTAAATTTATAGGAGTTAGGTGTAATGGCACAAGCCTATAATCCCAGTATGGCAAAAGATGGAGGCAGGAGAATCAGGGGTTCAAAGGCATCCTTGGTAACACAGTGAGTTTGAGATCCTCCTAGGCTACATGGGCTCCTGTCTCAAAAAATTTATGATTATTTAATTTGCTATTAAATTATACTTAATTAAAAATAATTACATTTCACTTGTCATAGCATAAGCAAAGCTAGGTGTGTGTGTATGTGTGTATTCATAAATTATTGCAGATTTACACAAAGCATTTTGGAATATTAGTATTTCCCTCCTTTTCAGATTCTACTTTCCTGAGAATGTAAAATGTTACCCAGAGTTCCAAACTTCCCGGAAGCATCCTGTCTCTGCTTTATCATTCCTTAATGTCTCTCAGTACACTAAACATACATGTTGGCAATTAAAGTTATAATGGTAGATGCAGAAGCTTCTCTACAAAGGTAGTCATTATTTTCCAAATTAACCTTTGAAACAAGTTTCTAGCAATGGTGATCGCTTAAGGTTACAGCCTTGGACTTTGCCATCAGAATCTCATCTCTCTTACCTGTGTGACTTTGGACAAGCTAGATGCCTGTTTTGCACAATGAGGGAAATCAAGTAGCTTTGTTTTGTTTTTAAGAGAGGTAAGGGCAGCTGGAAATCTCGGGTGGGCTGCAGTTGTCTCCAGCTTCCTGGCCTTTCTGGCAGATTAGCCAGTGACGGTCTGCTTCAGCACTGTGAGTCTGGACAAACAGTAATGCTCGTCACCATTAGCGTCAGCAGAACTCGAAGGCTTCACTCCTGTGTTAAACCTGCTGTTTGTCTTGTTTCTTCTCAGAGATAAAGATTTACGAGGATCTCTTCCAAGTCATTTACAGCATAAAGATACGAAGCTGAGCTCTTCACAACTGGAAGGTAATGAAAATCATCCTAAATGTTAGAGCCCAACAACAGCCAGGGCCATGGTGGCGCCTATGAAGATCATCCTAAATGTTAGAACCCAACAACAGCCAGGGCCCTGGTGGCACACGCCTTTAATCCCAGCACTCAGGAGGCAGAGGCAGGCGGATCTCTGCGAGCTTAAGGCTAGCCTGGTCTACAGAGTGAGTTCCAGGACAGAGGATCTTACTCTAATAGCTAAGACTAGCCTGCTCAATATGTAGCCCTGGCTGGTCTAGAACTCATAGCAGTCCTGCCTCAGCCTCCCAAGTGCTAGGATAGAAGGGAAGTGCCATTGCATCCAGCTAGCTCCCATTGGATCGTTCTCTAATGCACACGTGAGATTTCAAGAATCTGTATTCCTATCGTTCAAGAAAGGGGAAGTAGAGGGGAGAAATGAAGTTTTAGCCAGGCGTGATGGTGCACACGGATAACTTAGGAAGCTGGTACTTAGTTCAGAGTCAGCCTACTGTACCTACCAAGGCCCTATCTAAAAATAAAAACTAAACTATTTGCTGGGTTGAAGGATAACTTTCAAATTGACATCTTTCAAGAATTGAAACAGGCTTGGTCAAATATTTTTTAATTTATTTATTTTTTGGTTTTTCAAGACAGGGTTTCTCTGTGTATTGTTCTGGTCATTCTGGAACTCACTCTATAGACTAGGCTGGCCTTGCACTCACAGAGATCCACCTGCCTCTGCCTCCTGGATGCTGGGATCAAAGGCATGGGCCACCACCATTCAGCTAGATCAAATATTCTTATCCAGATAACTTGGAAGTGTGGAAAACAGCAAATTCAAGGTCACATATTAGTCAGCTACTTGAAGAGTATAAATACAACGTGCCAGGACTGGCCAGTGTGGTGACAAGTGTCTGTAATCGCAGCATTAGGGAGGCCTCTAGAGGCAAGAGGACCACAAGTTGAAGGACAGCCAGGTCTACATAGTGTACAAGCCAGTTTTGTTCTTGAAGGACCAAATTAAATTAAAATGGAAATAAAATACCAGGATTTCTTTGAGGCAGAAAAATAATGATGAAGTTTGATACACTGTCTATAGATCATTGGTCCAAACAGAAGACAGATATTTAAGCCAACCGTGTTCCAGGCATAAGAACATCAGACATGTCCCTGCCCTGGATGACTCAAGGCGTGAGAGAAGTACGGAGTGCTAGGGGATTTGGTCTTCTGAGGTGAAGAAGGGAACCTAGCGAGAGCGGAATGACGAATAAGCTAGGGAAGGATCGGAAGGTGAGGGTGTCTGCTATGGAAGCCTGAGGAGTGTGGCAGGGCCAATGGGCAGAGAGAAGAGGAACCGGCCAGCCCCCAGGGGCCGGCCAGCCAGACACGGAGGAAGCAGGAAAGTAGGGTGGACGACAAACACGGCAACACGTACATTAGTAGAAATGGGTTAGTTTGTTAAAGGAAAAAAATAGCTAGAAACAAGCCAAGCTAAGGCTGAGCATTCATAATTATTAGTAAGTCCCCAGGTCATGATTTGGAGGCTGGCGGTCCAGGAAAGCCTGCTATAGCCTGTCTCAAAGGATAAGGTGGAATGTGATAGAGCAGGACGCCTGGGCTCCATGCTCAGAGTGAGCATACCCACACATACACGTGTGCATACACCACACACACACACAAGAAGAGGAGGAAGAGGAAACGGAGAGAAGAGAGGAGAAGCACCTTTGCCTACTGAAGACCTGAGTTCCATCTCCAGGTCCCACATAGTAGAAGGAGAGAACTGACTCCTGCAAGTTGTCACGGGGCCTCCGTGTGCATGCAATGTCGCATACATACATACACACACATGCATGCATACACACTCCCTCTCTTCCACTACTTCTTTGAGCAATTTGAGAAACGAAAGTAAACATATTATGTTTACCCAAAATCTAAAATAAACATCTATGAGTCTATACTGATAGAAATAAATAATGAAAGTAGGACTCTAGGTCAGTGGTAGAGCAGTTGCCTGGCATGTGAGAGGGCCTAGGTTCAACCCCCAGTATTATAAAAAGAGTGGAAATTAAAAAATAATTATCTAACACAAGGTAGAGACTAATGACCAAGAAATGGCAATAAAAGGGAAAATAGATTATATATTTATATAAATATTTATATATATATATACATATATATTTGCTTTGCTTTGTTTTCTTGATGTACAGGGTCTGATGTAGCACAGTCTAGTCTCAAACTCACTGTGCAGTCAAGACTAGCCTTGAACACCTAATCTTCCTGCCCCTGCCCTTGAGTGCTTGGGTTACAGGCAGGCACCACTATGCCTGGCTCTGCATTTTTTTTCTACCAATTACTACTCATTCCACTTGGTTCTACCATTTCTGTTTGATGCTCGTTCAAATCCCAAGAAAAGACAGCATTCTGTCTCTTTTAAAATCTATTATTCATCTTCCTTTCTCTCTCCACGTGTTACAGATCACAATCTTCACCTGGCTATACGACATCTCCTGTCCTGTTAGCACACACATCTCTCCCTCCCCTTCCCCACTCCTATAGCCAGGGCTGACCTAGACATCACTGTTTAGCCTAAGCGGGCCTTGAATCAGCAATCTTCCCACCACAGCTTCCAAGTGCTGGGGTTAGAGACAGAAGTTACCATATCTGACCGTGTCTATTCTTAAATAATTGTCCTAGAGGGGCTGGAGAGATGGCCCAGAGGTTCAGAGCACTGCCTGCTCTTCCAAAGGTCCTGAGTTCAATTCCCAGCAACCACATAGTGGCTCACAACCATCTTTAATGAGGTCTGGTGCCCTCTTCTGGCCTTCAGGCATACACACAGACAGAATATTGTATACATAATAAATAAATAAATATTTTTAAAAATTGTCCTAATATATACCCATTTCCTCAGCCTTCCGAAATGCTTACAACTTCTTCACCAAGGATAAGACTGGCTGTATTGATTCACATGGATTGATGAGCACCTTAGCTAAACTCGGGATGAATCTAAACACGTATGATATCTACAATGAATTAAAATGTGCTGATCTTGACAGTGAGTATTTTGACCTATTATTTTCCCATAATATACTTTTTGTGTATATCTGTGTTATCATTTATCCTATAAGTGCAAGGAATACCTCTTCCTTATCTACCAGAAGTATACTTCTAAACAAAGGTAAGGTTATCTTCTATGACCTACATCTCACTTCCTGTGGTTTCAATTAACTGGGTCAACTGTAATCCAAAAATATTAGTATTTTTCTAAACGCTTTCAAGAGAAAAAGACCACAGTAATGTAACTTTTTACAATAGTATACTGTGGAGCCTGGACGTGGTGACGCACACCTTTAACCCTAGCACTCAGAAGGCAGAGACAGGATGATCTCTATGAGTTCCAGGCCAGCCTGTTCTACATAGTCCCAGGACAGCCAGGACTACATAAAGACACCCTGTCTCAAACATGCATGCACACACACACAGTATATTGTTTTAATTATTTTATTATTGCTAATTTCTAATCTATCAGATAAAGTTTATTGCAAATATGTATATGTGATAAAGCATAGGATATGCAGGGATAGGAATGGTCCACAAATCAACCAAAACAAAACCAGTGTGTGTGCTCTCTCTCACTCTCTCTCTCTCCTTTATATACAAATTGTGCATTTATATAAGCTTTTAGCAATATGTTCTGAGCTGAGATTCCTGTTGCAGGAGACGGTAAGATCAACTTCTCGGACTTTGTAGGGGTGCTGACAGATAAGAAACTCTTCCTCAAGGCTGTGGGTGAGTAGATGTCTCTGGGCAACTCCGCCCACTGCACAGAAAACATGACCCCTTAGGTCTACAGTTAGGAGACATCTAGGATGCAATTCTAGGATCTAGGGAGAGTCTAGGATGTGATTCTTTTTTTCCCTACAAAATAATATCAAACAGACTGATGCCATCAGAATTGCAACTTACATACATCAAGCAGCTACTGGCCTCCTGCAGGAGAGACGTTGCTTTTGTCTCTAATGAGAACACTAAGGAAGTAGCAGGTGCAGAAAGTTTAGCCTTCTTTATATTTTAATTTATTTTTATTTTTCTGTATCTTGCCTTGTATGTCTGTATCAGATCGCCTGGAACTAGAATTGCAGACAGTTGTTAACAGCCAGGTGGATGCTAGGAATCGAACCCAGATGCGTTGGAAGAGTAGTCAGTGTTCTTAATGACTGAGCCATCTCTCTGGCCCCTTATTTTCCCTTTATAGTATTTTAGTTCTTACCCAAGCACATGCACTACTTCCAAAAGCATTCCTTTTTTAAAAAAAATAAATAATGTTTTAGAGCTTGGGTAGCTTACTGTCTCTACACCCGAATGAAGCCTCCGCTCTCAGTGAGAGGCCGGGGTTAGAGAGACGTGCTCACCTGTGGCCATCGATCTGCTCAGACTGGAAGCTGCCCTCAGTCTCTCATGCTCTGTTTCCAGATCTAACAGGCTGCCTTGGAAAAGCCAACCACTCTTCATATCGCATGCTCTCGGATTCCAGATTCCAAACCCCACAAACAGCTTTGAAAACATACCCAAACTTAAGCCACAGCTTGTCCCTAAGATAAAGAAAAATTGGTGCTCTCAAAAACTGTGACAAGTGAGAGTTCCTCTGCAAACTAGAGATATTTATGAATTCCCTTTCATAGAAGAACAAGACAATTCTATTTAACATATTACACGTGCAGATGTTAAAAGTACTGCCGTATTTACTTAGACGTCATTGAACTATGATTGTTCTGTCTACTCAGTAATCAAAATGACCTTTCTCTAAATAGAACATTTCTAATGTTTTGCCATATTTCTAGTCTCTGATTTAATATTGCCACAAATTCTCAGTAAATTTTTAATAGCTGTTTTTCTCAGAAGACATTTTGAAATTTCTCTTTTCTGTTTCCTCTATAGTTCCCGAAAAGAAACTGTGTTTGGATTTAGCTAACAACCCCGGGATCTTATTATTTGAAATCCTATCAAAACTTGTAGAGACTTCATCCCTGCACAGAAAGGATGTAATAGAGCTAGTAAGGTAAGTGGCCATAGGACAGGTGAAGGCAGCTTACGGAGGATGCGTCACCAGCGTCCTACTCCACAGAGCTCAATCTGAAACCCAAGAAAGGGTCGGGGCAAAAGGCTGATAATGTCACAACACTCTCCCCTGGTTCTGAAATCATAAGACTGCATTTACACTATGCTGAAGCTCCACATGGACATAAAACATACAAAAATAAGCTTCAGCTGCCCCGAGATAGAGCTGCTGGTGCACAAGCTAGCCTTTGTCTTTCCTTCTCCTTCCTTTCCTCGCCTACAAAGTGCAGGCGCTAACAACACCCGTGTGAAGGGCACCTGTGGGACGCAGAGTGGCACAGGCGCAGCACTCAGCGTGTCACCCAGCACAGCGCTACTCCTTACACTGTGGAGCAAGTAGAATAAAGAGGACATGCATGTTACTTAATAGAGTCCTCACTAAAAGAGTGCACACAAGCACCCGCATTTTGCAAACAAAAAATCCCGAAAGCAGATCAAATGCTTGCCTAAGAGTGGTGTGCTGATGTTAGCACAGTGTCGTGTGCTCATGGCCTCCTGCACTGTGTCTCACTCCTACTAAGTGGACGGGACACCTTCGCTATCACTGCTTTGTTACTGAAAGTGAATTGTGGTTTTTGTTTATTTGGTTATCTTTTGAGGTTGCTCTTTACCTGCTGAAAAAATTCCAAATTCTGGAAAATAGAGACCCAAGATCCAGGAAGCTGTTAAGACCTTTCCTAGATACAGTGGGGGAAATAATAATCTCCAGGGCATGAAAATACAAGATGACTAGGCAGGGTGGCACACGTCTTTAGCCCAGCACACAGGAGGCAGAGGCAGGTAGATCCCTGAGTTCAAAACTAGCCTGGTCTATATAGCGAGTTCCAGGACAGCAAGGCCGACACAGTGAGACCCTGTCTCCAAAATAAATAAACATATGAAAAGAAAATAAGTATAAGACAAAGGAAAATTCTAAAGAAAAACAAAAACAAAAGAATCAAGGTATGAAGAACGTCCTATTACAGTAGTGCAGACTTCTCTCCAGAAATCTTACAAGCCAAGAGAGAATGGAATGATTTGTTCAAAACATTGAAAGAGAATACTCAGCAATCAGGAATTCTACACCTAGCAAAGCTGCCCTTCAGAAATTAAACAGAAAGAAAGGCTTCCCAAGACAAACACTGCAAGAATGCATTGGGACCCACTTGGTAGAAGGAAATAGCTCCTGCAAGTTGACCTCTGACCTACACACATAAGCACACCAGAGTACATGAGTGCACATGTATACAAATGCATGCACACACACACATTAAATTAATAAATGTGCCGGGTGGTGGTGGTACACACCTTTAATCCCAGCACTTGGAAGGCAGAGGCCAGCAGGTCTCTTAAATTCGAGGCCAGCCTAATCTACAGAGTGTTCCAGGACAGCCAGTGCTGTTACACAGAGAAACCCTGTCTCAAAAAACAAAACAAAACAAATGTAGCAATGTCAAAAATTATGAAAAGAGACCAAGATGGTCCTTATAGAAATGATGAAGGAATCAGTTTAGCCAAAGGAAATAACAGCTGAGGCTGAAGCTCAGCGTATAGAGTACTTGGCTGGCATGTGGAAGGTCACAAGTTCAGTCCCTGCACTGGAAAAGCTGGTCATTAACATTTAAAAAAAAAAAGACTTATAAGAATAGAGATAGCTGTGTAGCTGAGTAGTAGAATGCTAACCTAACGTGCACAGCCACCTGGGTTTGATCTCAGACCATAGGCAAGCATAGTGCTCATGCTGTGATCCCATCACACTGGAATCTGAAGCAGAAGGGACACCATGAGTTCAATGCCAGCCTGGGCTACAAAGTGAGATTCTGCCTCAAAAAAAAAAAAAAAAAAGAAAGAAAGAAAGAAAGAAAAAAAGAAAGAAAGAAAGAAAAAGAAAAGAAAAGAAAAGAAAAAAGAAAACTGCATTTCAAAACCCAAAACAGAGTTGAAGAGATGGCTCAGAAGTTAAGGGCACTGTCTGCTCTTCCAGAGGTCCTGAGTTCAGTTCCCAGCAACCACATGGTGGCTCACAACCATCTATGATGAGATCTGGTGCCCTCTTCTGGCCTGCAGGCATACAATGTAGTCAGAACACTGTATACAGAATAAGTAAATAAATCTTCAAAAAAATAAAACCCAATACAAAGTACTACAGTATATGGCACCTTCTTCAGCGGTGTGGCTACTAGTAAGGAGCCCATGCACTTGTAAATAATCCTTCACCCAAGACCCTGTAAGCAGCCCCCAAAATACACATTGAGTTTTCAAGCCAGAAAGAAAGAAGAAGGTAAGAATGAGGGGAGGGAAGAGAGGAGAGAGAGAAAATGAGAATACAAAGGAAGATAGAGAGGAAGGGAAGTAGTGGGGAGAGAGAGCAAGAATGAGAATACAAAGCATGACAAGAGAGACTGAAGTGGAAAGAGAAAGTAGCTGGGGGACAGGAGAGGACAATGAAGTGAATGTAAGAGAAATATGTATAATGTACAAAAATGCCATAATGAAACCATTACTATTGTGTGATAAACATATGCTAATAAGCCTTAAATAGATTTAAAATAAATATTAATCAACTTCTGTAACTTGTAGTGGTTTTTTTTTTGTCCTAACAATTCTTTATTCCATTTTTGAATTTCTCTTTAAGCTATTTCCGAAAAAAATTCCAGGAAAGCCACTCGGAAATGCCATGGAGTCCGTACGGGAGAAGGGGCTTTAGGCCAGATATATGCACTCCTCCGCGCTCGAGCACTGCTGCCTTTGCCAATTCTGCCAAGATCTCGATAATGAAAGAAAAGGATTTGTATAAGTTCCTTGAAGCACTCAAGCGTAAGAGCCATTTTCCCTCTCCACTGTGATAGAGCGACTTCCAGGCAGCTGGTCAGAAATAGACACCAGAGGCCAAGAACAGGGCCCGGGTCCCACAGGCTTGGAAGCAGAAGTCCTGAGCCCTCAGACACCCGAGTGAAGTCTGCAGGATGGGTGTGCGGTGGGAACGTGAGACTCAGGCAGAGGAGCCGGGGCCACAAGGGGAGCAGATGGAAGTGCACTGGGCTCTGCACGCTTGTCATTCCGGGAACTTTTTACATCATGTATAATGCCGTTTTTGGTTTTGTCTTTTTAGGGTGTGATCTCCCTACAGGTAGCCCGTACTCAAAAATACCTGTCTTTCCCTTGTTCCCTGATGTGGACGGGGTGGTGATGGGAAAGCCATTCAAAGACATACAGAAGCTAGAGATGCTGAAGAAAAAGGAACCTCTGAGTTTCTTCGAGGACTATTTTTTCCATAAAAGAGATTGGAAAGCACAGGTAGGTTTAGTCTGTCATACTAGCTAATTTAAATACTCCATCTCTAAGAACCTAACTCAAGGCTAAAAGCATGTTTTCTTTACAGATAATGCGCAGTGTCTTGGGAGGTTGTAGCTATTGTTTTGAAATGTTGGTTTGGTTTGGGGTTGGGATTTTTAGAGACAAGGTCCATTGTACCCTGACTGACTCAAATTTCTAAGGAGCCAACAGGAAATTATCTATTGAATATATACTTTAGAGGCTGGAGAGGTGATTCTGTGGTTAAGAGCACTTACTGTTCTGCCATACTCTTTGTTTGTTTGGTTGGTTGGTTGGTAGGTTTGATTTTTTGACACCAGGTTTCTCTGTATAACAGACCTGGTTGTCCTGGAACTCACTCTGTAGACCAGGCTGGCCTCGAACTCACAGAGATCTGCCTGCCTCTGCCTCCTGAGTGCTGTAATTAAAAGTCATACTCATTTCTTAATACTATTCTTACAAAGGACCTGACTTTGGTTCCCAGCACCTACATACATCAAGTGACTCATAGCTGTAATTCCAGCTCCAGAGGATCTGATGCCTCTGAACTCCACAGACATCTGCACTCAAGTGTACATAACCACACACACACAATTAAACATAATTTTAAAAATATATCTTAATAACATACCTCCCTAATTTTTCCATAACATATATTGGAATCTATTTTTATACCTCAGTTATCATATTTACATTATTATATATAAAGAAAGATATATTACATTATCATTTATGCACACAACATCATATGTACATTTATAAATAGGATAATGTACCATATTTAATGTCGATATATGTTAATATATAGCTGTATAGTGTATATAGCTGTGGAGATGGCTCAGCGAGCCAAGGGCCGCACAAGCATGAGGACCTGAGTCCAGATCCCCAACACCCATGTGAAAGCTGTCCTGGGGCACATTCCTACAACCACGTGCTGAGACAAGCAGGCCCTGGGACCAGCCTGTCTAGCTGAAAACTCCAGTGAGAGAGCCTGTCTTAAAACATACAGTGATATCCAAAAATGTCCTCAAAAGCAAGCAAAATGCCCATGCTTCAAAAAGCAAGACAACCAGACAGATCTTTATAAGTTCAAGATCAATCTGGTCTACCTAGTGAGACCCTCTCTTTCTCAAGAGAGAACTTAAAGCCCTAACACCAAGCTTATAAAATGACAGAGAGATAGGAAGGTCACATGGAGGTGCTTAGACCAGACTGCTAGGGACAGGGTTTAGCCTGACAATTCAGGATGAGATGTGGATGCCTAGAACTTAATCTAAAATAATAAGATTTAGATTTAATTTTAAATTTAAAACCTCTGGAAAAAAATCAGAATCTGTGAGAGGAAAGGTACTGCTTGGTACAAGGCCCAAGTTCACCTGCTGGGAGCCCTCAGTGGAGAAGAAAGTCTCCCTTGGGAATGTGAAACCTGAGATTTGAGAAAACCTGGGTACACAGATGGGACTCACAGTTCCCATACTGGATACAGTCTCCAAACTGTGCACTTACCCTAAAAGTCAGTTTCAAGCTTAGAAAAGTCTACAAAACACAAATATAAACATATCCAAATCCTGAGCTACTCATTTCACACCATAAAAACAAAACAAAACCTTCCCTCCTCCCACTCCCTCCACATACCTTATCCTCCACCTTCTCCAATTCTAAGAGGGGGCAAGGCACGCTGCCCTGTGGAAAGTCCAAGGCCCTCCCTACTACATCTAGGTTGGACAAGGTGTACTGCATGTCTACAATAGAATTTCATGTCAGGGATGGTGATGCCTCTGGAAGTTCCTTTATTGTACTGGATTGTTTTGGTTATCCTAGGTTTTTTGTTTTTCCATATAAAGTTGATTATTCTTGTTTCAAAGGTCTGTGAAGAATTGTGTTGGGATTTTGATGGGTATTGCATTGAATCTATGGATTTCTTTTGGCAGGATTGCCATTTTTATTATGTTGATCCTATCTATCCAAGACCATAGGAGGTCTTTCCATTTTCTGGTATCTTCTTCAATTTCTTTCTTCAAAGGCTTAAAGTTCTTGTCGAATAAGTCTTTCACTTCTTTGGTTAGTGCTACCCCAAGATATTTTATGTTATTTGTGGCTAATGTAAAGGGTAATGTTTCTCTAATTTCTTTCTCAGCTTCTTTATCATTTGTATATAGGAGGGCTACTGATTTTTTTTTTTTAGTTGATCTTGTATCCTGTCACATCACTGAAGGTATTTTCCGCTGTAGGAGTTCCCTAGTAGAGTTTTTGGGGTTACTTATGTATACTATCATATTATCTGCAAATAACAGAAGTGCCACTTGGAGTGTTAACAGTGAAGAAAGAGCTGGAGACAGAATGCCAAGTTAGCAGTGAGAGTCTGGAGACGAGGCAATCAGCATGTCCAAGCAAGCAGTATGGTTACCAGACTTCCTCGAGCATTGTTCAACAGCCCAGCAACCAGAGGAACAAATGTTGCTTCCTTCAGGAAGTCTGGAAACAAAAAAAGCTACACTCTTTGGAGGGCACCTTGCTCGAATAGCTTGGGAATTCTAGGTCAGGATGGAGTTGGCTTCTCTCCACCCCCCTCACCCACTCCTCCCATCAGTGTTTGTTTTATGAGCAGATTTCTTTGTTATTATTACAGTGGATTTGCTAAATACCTGTGGACACGTGCACCCTGCTGGGTGCTCCGGTGCAGCCAACAGTTTAGCAACAACCTTACAAATCATATACAAATCCTCTTGTAACAAATTTCTGACCAAGGGGTGGTGGCACACGCCTTTAATCCCAGCTCTGGAGAGGCAGAGGCAGACGGATCGCCAAGAGTTCCAGCCCTGTCTGGTCTACAGAACGAGTTCCAGGACAGCCAGCGTGGTTACACAGAGAAACTCTGTCTTGAGAAACTAGAAAAAAAGTCTTGTTTTGTTTTTGTGAAACACTCACACTGTAGCCCAGGCTAGCCTGGAACTCTTTTCAGTTTTCTGTAGTTTCCCAAGGACTGGCATTACAAGTATGAACCATTATGCCCAACTTCCTACTAATACTTTCCCCCTCATTGTTACGTCTTTTTATAATTAATGTCTAAAGTTAGCATACCAAGTAATGGGTTTCCTACGGCATTTTTCACACGTCTTTGTTGTCTAATTCAAGCTAAAATGTTTCACTGATCTTTTTGCACATATAAAGGCCGCGTCTGTGAAGCCCGTCAGGTCCGCCTCAGGCTATTCAGATGACATCCTAGCCATCGACCACCTCTTCAAGAAGAAGCAGCACTGGACCGTGTCCGATGCGGCGACCCTCAAACAGCACGTGAGTATCAGGTGCCACCCCAGACTGCGCTGTCAAAGGTCTCCAGAAATAAACGAAAATCTCCCCTTTATGGTGAGACAAGATGAGCTGCGCCACTCCCGGAACTCCTGGGAGCTAGCGTTCTTTGAGGGGTTCGGGAAAGAGGAGAGGAGAAGACAGAATGCAAGGGCTGAAGGTGTGGTTTCTACAAGGGAACGGAAGCATCGAGAGCGTGCTGATTAGCGTCCAATGCAGACGCGGGGAGGGTGTGGAGTAAATACATTCAGTCCTTCTCTGTGGAGTTGTTAGCTGCTAACCAGGTGGAAGGGTGCATTCTGGAGCCTCGCTGCCTATGCCTTAACGTGCGTGTGCCAGCGTGTGAGCATGCGTGTGCCGGAGATCAGCCTCAGCTGTTCTATTCCTTGGGTATCTTTGGCTTTTTTTTCTTTTTTTGACAATCGTCATGCTCCCAATGCCCCTCCCCCCAGGTTTCTACCCACACAGTCTATCTGCCCACAGCGCCCACTCATACCCTCATTCATCCACATTCTACCCTGTGTATCTATGAGTTCTGAGATTCGGAGACACCACAGAGAGAAAAGCACAGCTCCTACTCTAAGAAAGCTTGGGGTGAGGGTAAGGTTGCGGAGAAGAAAGGGTTCGGTGGCAGTGCGCTGGGATGTGTGGAACTTCAGAACACAAAGCCGTGACCAGCTGACTCCTGTCTCTCCACTAATACATCAACACACAAACAGATGGAGGCTGCCTGTGGCCAGAGACCTCCAGCACCAACACCAGCTGCTCCATAGGCCAAGAAGCGCGAGAAGATCCTGAGTTTAGCCTCCCTATAACTCAGCTATAAGAGAACAGCAAGGATCTCTGTGTCAGAGGAAGGACGCTAGGGTGACCATGCAGGCTGCTTAGATCTACCTTCTTTGTTTAGCAGTAGCCACCTATGCACTAATAACTAATTTGCCCGAGCCTAGACTTCTTTTTTGTACACTGACCTTACCTCAGTCACCATCTGACAAACATCCGCCACCCCCCGGGATGCTAGGTTTCATAACACATCACGCTCAACATGCCCCATGCTCCATCATATCTCCTACATCAGCCTGGCTCTCCCCTGAGGATGCTGTATCTCAGCTGTTGATGCCACCATCTCCTCATTCACTGAAGTCAGAAGCCAAGGGGGCACTCTTAACATTGTTTGTTTTATTTTTTTTCTTATTCCTTACCTCCACCAGTCACCAAATCTAGTCCAACTCATTCTGGGGTGTTTTCCAAGTCTGTTCCCTTCTCTCTACCCCTGTTCTCTCGGCCTGAGTTGAGTCCTTCCATAAGACTTGCCTGGACAACAGGCTCTAACCTGGAGTCCTCAGTTCTGCAGCTTTCCCTGCCCTCAGCCACTAACGATCGAACATGAAGATGCAAACATGCCCTTGTCCTGCTTAGAGGTAAATGCTTGGGCTGAAGGTAGACCTCAGTGGTAGCGCTCCTGCCTAGCACGGACAAAGCCCTAGGTTTCACTCCCAGGAAGGATGCATGCAGGACATTCTTCTGGGTAGTATCCCAGGGATGAAAGCAAGAGAATTACAATGGAAGAGCAGCCTGTGCTACATAGGAAGTCCCAGGCCAGCCTGGCCTACTGAGACCTCTCCTCCAGTAATGGTAGAGTCTTCTGCTCTACACAACTGAGGGGCTCATCTCACTTCCCTCAGACAGCCCCCACCCCATGAAGGGCTCTGCTGCATCCTCTAACCGTCTCTGCTCTGACTTTCACCCTGACACTCTGCCAGCACCACGATCGTCCAGCTCTCCTACCAAGTCCAGGGTGCGTATTGTCTTCCAGCATTCGTTGATGTGGCCTCTTCATCCTGGGACTTCTTCCCATCACCTCTCGATGCCTCAATCTTAAAACCCTTAAGGATTTGCTCAGCTCAGCATCTTCTCCCAGCTGACTCTCCCTGTCTTAGGCTGAATCTGGTACTTATATCACCTAAGTTAACCCCATGTTTCTCTCCTGGGAACTCACTTTGTAGACCAGGCTGGCCTCAAATTCACAGAGATCCGCCTGCCTCTGTCTCCTGAGTGCTGGGATCAAAGGTGTGTGCCACCACTCCCTAGCTTTCAAGTGACACATTTTGATTCCCACCAACTCCTAGCTCCTGAGTCCCATGCTGCCCCATCTGTCGTCCCTGATTTTTACATGGATGACTCTCAAGCCACCAATAACTATGGTTTATAAATCAAAGATAGTTAAAGTAACTCCACTCAGTTAATGTCTGCCCTCTCGATGCAGGTAAAGAGAGCCACAGATGCCTATAACTTAGGAATTGCCCTCGAGCACCGGAAAGAAATGCTGAATCTTTGGAGAAAGATCCGAGGGGATTTGATTGGGATTGAGACCAACAACGAGTCCTTCTACAACACCTTCTCCACGTACACATGGTCCTGGAACGTCTGCCAGGAGCTGCTTTCAGCTAAGGACTTGCGGCTGCACGACAGCTACGTGAACAAAAGCTCCTCCAGCAATTCTGGGTTTTCTTCCCCATCAGACCTCAGCGAGTATGACTTGGAGACAGGACGGAAAAGGAAACGGAAAGGTTTCAGAGGGTTTCGGCAATGAAATGTCTACATTTTCTAAACAACGCTTAGAAAACTGCTTTCCAAACTTATCAAAATTATGGTTTCTTGCTTTTATCGACTACATTCTTAGCAGGTGGAAATTTTGACATCTTTTGGATTCTCTCCAGTAAAAACCTTTAAATCATAGGATGGCTTCTCTCCCCATGGTTTCTCTGCCCCAAATCTTTGCTACTTAAAAGTAGTTCCTCTATTATTAGAGCCAGTTGCCCTCTGCTACTCCCACTCAGCTCAAAACAGCCAAGACAGCATCAGGAAGGGGGAAAAGGAGGCCTAGGTTCCTAAGGGCCCTCCATGCAATAAGCATCTGAGTTTGGGGTGACTGTAAAGGAGATGGGGTTTTTGAATGTTTGTGGAAGACTCCAGATTCAGAGGACAGCAACTGTGGGGTATAGAACCAGCACACCCTCTGCCCCCAACGAAAGAACCCCATGACATTTAGGAATTCCTAAGGCACACCTTTCACTTGGATTGCTCCTGCAAATAACTGAGCTCATATATTACATTAAAAATGCACATAGCTGGGCAGTGGTGGCACACGCCTTAAATCCCAGCATTCAGAAGGCAGGGGCAGTTGGATCTCTTGAGTTCAAGGCCAGCCTGATCTGCAGAGTGAGTTCCAGGACAGTCAAGGCTACAGAGAGAAACCCTGTCTCAAGAAAAATAAAAAGCAAACACATAACTATATTGCAAATTTGTGGCGGTATCATGATATTTTGTATTGTGCATGTGTGTGAGCTGTACATGCACGTGTGTGAGTTGACCAGGTAGTGTTAAGCACGCTGGTGTGTGCAGAGCCTAGAGGGGATGTCAAGGCATCTTCTGAAATCCACTTCTCCATTTTGCTTTCTGGGTCTTTCACTGAGCCTGGAGCTCAACATTTCTGCTAGACTCCAGAATCTGCCTGTCACTGTCTCTGCCTCCATGCTAAAAGCCACCGCACTCAAATGTCTGCATGATGCCAAGGCTTGGAAGTCAGGTCCTCATGCTTAGACAGCAAACATTTTACCTGCTGAGCCATCTCTTCATGCTGGGGGGTCATGACTTTTATGGTAATAAAACTTAACTGTATAGAACTTATTTAAAATTTATTTAAAAATATTTAAGTGGGGAGGCTGGAGAAGTGGCTCAATGGTTAACAGATGTTCTTCAGAGGACCTGGGTTCAATTCCCAGCACCCACATGGCAGCTCACAAATGTCTTTAACTCCCAAGATCTGACACCCTCATATAGACATACATACAGGCAAAACACCAATGCACATAAAATAAAAATTAAAAAATTATTAAAAATATTTGTGTATCCTTATTCTTCTTGGTTCCATTTTTGTAGTTCTTCCAGCATTCTGTGGGTTTTGACAGTTTATCCAAGGGAGGCACATAACTTTGGGATTCTGCAAACACTAAATTCTGCATTAACCTTTTGATTTATTATCAGGATGGCAAAAATGTTTTATTTGCTCTGCAGATTCTCCCCCTCCCCCCTGGGGTGAGAGCTACCCTCAGGCTTAATAAATAGGCAACGACAGCCTTGGATTTCCTGATCCTCTTGTCTTCAATTCCTGAATGCCCGGAGTGTGGAGATTACAAGCGTACTCCACCATGCCTGGTTTATGTGGCGTTGGGTATCAAAACCAGGGTGTCATGCATGCTGAGCAAGCACCATCTGAAATCTTGTTCATTCATATTGATCCTCTTTCCCTCCCCCTACCCCCTGTCCATCTGTAGCCCTGGCTGACCTGGGACTAACTCTCTTGATCACACTAGAGAAGAATTTGCAGCATTCCTCATGTGTCTGACCCCCAAGAACTTGTGGCCCCTTTATTAACTATGACTGTAGTGTCTACTGACTTGTCAGGGTCGATACTGGCCTCTAGGCTCTCTCCGTTCCTGCTTTCAAGCCCCCTTTTTTTCTCCTTCCCATTTAACTCTGAAACTCTTTCCCCTTGGCAGTTTGGAATAAACGTTTTCCTTTTCACCCATGAAACAGCTCCTTTGGTTTCTTTACTGAGCCTATTTTCATTCATAGTGTACTGTAAAAGCATTGGTAAAGTTACTAGCCTCTCTATGGACTGTATCTATCATTAAAAGTTTTATTTTGACACTAGAAGAGATTCAAATAAAAAAGGGGAGTTTAAGACTGGGTTTCTCTGTGTAACCCAAGCAGTTCAGGAACTTGCTCTATAAAACGGGCTGGTCTTAAACTCAGAGATCTGCCTGCCTCTGCCTCCCAAGATCTGGAATTAAAGGTGTATGCACCATTGCCTGGCCAAAATCATTATTTTTAAATTAACTCTAACAGGGATATAACATAAAATCCTAGTCTTATGAAAGCTACTAACTTACTGTGAATTGTTAAGACTAATTATGAAATACAAACTAATGGTTAGTCACCTTATAAATGATCAAATTCCTCTAACCAGAGGGTAAGATTAGTAGCTTTGAGAAAATATTTTTATATAACTGTGTCTAGGAATATAGAATGTGGATGCCAAGTTAGAAGCTAGGCATAGTGGTGCAGTCCAGTAATCCCCACGCTTTGGAAGTGGAGACAAAAAGATATAGTTCAGGATCATGCTACAATGTGACAAATCCAGGACTAACCTAGGCTACATAAAGTCCTGTCTGCAGAGACAGCACCCAGAATATTACAATTACTGCAGTGTTTCTTTGGATCAGTGAGATAACAAGATACTTTTAAATACCTCCGATGGGGAAATGTAAACTGCACAGGAATCCCATCTCCCGGTTACAGTGTTACACACTACTCTGCTGTGATACTTACAGGGACAGACATCTCATTCACTCACCAAGGTGCTGAATTGCATGCCTTCTATGATCTAGATCTGTAGCAGATAGAATTCCTGACTTCCACGGGCTTAGTAACAGATCTAACTATAGCCAGTGGCTCAGCAATGCCTGGTGGTGACTTTTTCAGGACAGATGAGAACAAACCTCTGTTCAGCCCAGACGGGAAAATGACCAAAGGTATCCAAATCTAGTCTAATGAAACGGTGAATTTACTGGAGCTACTTATAGGAGTGTGAGAGAGGAATTGCAGACGCATGCTGACTAAGCAATTGCATCCCTGAAAAGCCCACCCAGCATGGGTAAGGACACACAAAAGCTACATCCTAGAGCTCCCCGCCCAACTTTCAGGCAGCCTTACCAGAGATGACTCCTCTCTCCTAGGGGCTGTTTGGGGTTATAACCCACGAGAAGTGTTTTCTGTTTCCTAAGCTTCCTGTGTCTTAGCAGCTTCCTTCCTCCCTCCAGGAAGGAAACTTCCACTTCAGAGAAAATAATTACATCAGTGCCATTTCTAGAAATTAATACTAAAGAAATAATCATGAATATACCAAATTAAATTACAAAGATTTTATTATGTTGAATTAGGGTCTCATTGTGTTGCCCAGGCTAGCCTTTCATTCCAGGTTCAAGCAATCATCCTACTTTAGTTTCTTTCTTTCTTTTTTTTTTTTTTTTTCTTTTTCAAGACAGGGTTTCTCTGTGGTTTTGGAGCCTGTCCTGGAACTAGCTCTTGTAGACCAGGCTGGTCTCGAACTCACAGAGATCAGCCTGCCTCTGCCTCCCAAGTGCTGGGATTAAAGGCGTGCGCCACCACCGCCTGGTCCTACTTTGGTTTCTTGAGCAGATGTACTTATAAAATTTTGCCTGAAGACCAGAGAGTAAAACAGCCCCAATGGTCAGCCTTACAGACCAGGCAGTGGTAATACACACCCTTAATTCCAGTAGCCACACTAGTTGCCATAGAAACCATGCCTTTAATCCCAGTGGTGCATGCCTTTAATTCCAGTTGTAGAGAGGATTATAAAACGGGAGGAGACAGCTCTCAAACAGTTTCATTCTGAGATTCCTGGAGGCAGGATCACTATTTCAGACTGAGACAGAGGGAAGAGACAGTGGCTGCCTATTTTGAGTCTCTGACCTTCAGGTTGAACCCCAATTTCTCAATTCTTTTTATTTCTTGTGCTTCACAGATCCACCTGCCTCTGCTTCCCAAGAATAGGGATTGAAGGCCACCACATGTGCCATCACACCTGGCTATACTTATCTTTTAATAAGGAAAAATGAAGATGAATCCAGGAATAGTAACACATGCCCAACACTTACGAGGCAAATGACAGAAATCTCAAGTCTGTGGTGGAGGAGTGGGAGGAAAGGAGGAAGGGGGAACTGTGGTTGATATGTAAAATGAATAAAAATTTTTAAATAAAAAAAAATCTCAAGTCTCAGGCCACACAGTGTAGTAAGAAGGCTGCTTATTTGTCCTAGAACTGAAATAATCACACAGAAACCATATTAGTTAAATTACTGCCTGGCCCATTAGCTCTAGCTTCTTATTGGCTGATTCGTACATATTAATTTAACCCATTTCTATTAATCTGTGTATTGCCACATGACTGTGGTTTACTGGCTAAAGTTCCGTCCAACTCCGGCGGGGCTACATGGCTTCTCTCTGACTCTGTCTCCTTTCTCCCAGCATTCAGCTTAGCTTTCCCGTCTAGCTCTGCTCCTCTATAGCTCTGCTATAGGCTCAAAGAAGTTCCTTTATTTACCAATGGTATTCAAGCATACAGAGGGAAATCCCACATCAACACAGGGCTATAGCAAGGCTTGTCTTAAAAAGACACTATTTAAACAAAGGGTGTGATGGTTTGAATAAGAATGGTCCCCTTAGGCTCATATTTGAACACTTGGTCTTCAGGAAGTGTCACTACTTGAGAGAAATTAGGATAAATGACCTTGTTTGGAGTAGGTGTGGTCTTGTTGGAGGAAGTGTGTCTGTCACTAGGGGTGGGTCTTGGGGTTTCAAATGCTCAAGCTTTTAAAAACTCTTCCTGCTACCTGCCAATCGGGATGTAGAATTCAACAACTGCTTCTCCAGCACCATGTCTGCCTGCATGCCACCATTTTCCCCGTCATGATGAGAATGAACTAAACCTCTGAAATTGTAAGCAAGCCCCAGTTAAATGCTTTCTCTTATAAGAGTTGCCATGGTCATAGTGTCTCTTCACAGCAATGGAACATTGACTAAAACAACAGGCCTGGCAAGATGGCTCAGCAGGTAAAGGCACTTACTGCCAAGCCTGGCAGCCTGAATTCAATCCCCAGAATCTACACAGTGGAAGGAGAAAAGCAGCTCCTATAGGGTGTCTTCTGCCCTCCACACAAGCGTTGTGGTGCACTGGCACCCACACCAATGTGCATCATACACATGCACAAACAAAATAAACACGTGTGGCTGGAGAGACGGCTCAGCGGTTAAGAGCACTGACTGCTCTTCCAGAGGACCTGAGTTCAATTCCCAGCAACCATGTGGTGGCTCACAAGCACCTGTAATGAGATCTGGTGCCATCTTCTGGCCTGCAGTAACACATGCAGGCAGAATACTGTATACATAATAAATACAAATCTTTAAAATAATAATTTTTTTAAAAAATTAGAGTGCTAAAACAAACAAACAAATAAACAGGGCTGGGGCAGTAACTCAGTGGAAAACACTTGCTAGCATACAAGAAACCTTAAAAAAGAAAAGCCAGTTGTGGTGGCACACACCTTTAATCTCAACGCTCAGGAGGCTGGCAGCAGAGGCAGGTGGATTTCTGGGAGTTGAAGGCCAGCCTGATCTACACAATCAGTTCCAAGACAGTCAGAGTTGCATAGTGTTTGGATTAAGGCTTCACCCCAGCCCCTGACATCCATATACCCAAAGAGTCTGGGATGTTTGGTTGAAAGCATCACCCCGCCCCTGGCATCCTTATATCCAAAGAGTTTGGAAGGTTTGGGTGGAAGCTCCATCCTGAGCAAACCTCCCCTGAGAGTTGCCTCAGTCCAGACTCCACCTCCAAATAAGCCAGCCAAACGGTGACCCCTCCCCAGAGATGCTCAAGACCACTCCCACAGGGTATTTAAACTGCCTTCCAGAGAATAAGCGTGATTTTCCCCTCTTCCTTCTCTGTCTCCTCTCTGGAGGTTGGAATGCCACCCGGGAGTGCTGATATCCATTAAACCTGGGCTTTTTCTAATTTGCTTTGACTTGGTCTGATTCAGATTATTGCGTCAGCGGAGAGGTTTATTGGGGTACAGAAAGTTTTCACATAGTAACACTCTCTCGAAAAAACGAAAAAGAGAAAAAACAGGAAAAACAAAAAGTTGTTAAATCTTCAGCAGCTCAAAGGCTGTTGATGGTCTGTGAGACACCAGGACCATTTCCTGGAAGCTCTTATTCCACACGTCATGCCCCAGGGCCCAGAATTCACTGCCTGAAGCTGGGGGCAGAGGAAGCATGGAATGATTGACTGCCCTGTCCAGGGTAACTCAGGGCAGTCTCCTTTAGTCCTATGTCTTTACAAGCATTGGATGCATCCACTGAGTAAGAGTGTTCTTTGCTCTCCACTCAGGAGAGTTGGTGAGATGGCTCAGTGGGTAAAGGTACTTCCACCAAGCCTGACGAGTTTAATCCCCAGAACTCACATGCTGGTAGGAGAAAGAACAACCCCCAGCTAGCTGTTCTCTGATCTCTCTCCTCTCTCTCTCTCTCTCTCTCTCTCTCTCTCTCTCTCTCTCTCTCTCTCTCCCTCTCTCTCTCTCTCTCTCTCTCTCTCTCTCCCTCTCTCTCTCTCTCTCTCTCCCTCTCTCTCTCTCCCTCCCTCATGAAATACATGTTCGTGGCTGTCTTTTTTATTCTCATGTCTTTGTCTTCATGCAGGGAGGGCTTGGAGCTTGTTCCCATGTCTGTGATGGGAAAATGCAGTCTAGAAACCGCTGTGGAATACCAGTGGGCTATGTCTACACTTCACTCCTACAACCTCCTTCCTTTACTCCAAGTAGTCAGCCCTTGAAGTCTCCTTGACCAACTTTATGTTGACAGCATACTTTCTAGTAGATTCTTTTAAGGGTCAATTTGCTCCTGTCTGCATGTACGACATGAAGTGCAAGTAAGGCTACCTAGGAAAACAAAGGAGACTAATGGGAGTGACGAGGACCAAGAAAAGGGAGGGGGAAGGATATGGGAGAACATGTCCAACCTACAACACATACCAAACTTTAAGATAAATTATAAGAACCAGTTTCCTTGCATATAGTGGCTCACTCCTGTAATCGTAGCAATTGAGAAACTAAAGTAAGATCATCATGACTTAAAGCCCACCCTGGGCTACAAAGTAAATTCTAGATTATCCTGGGGTAGAAAAAAAATTGTAGCTTGGTATAGTAGCACATGCCTTTAATCCCAGCATTGGGGAGGCAGAGGCAGGAAGACCTGAGCTCAAAGTCAGCTTGGTCCACAAAGTTTCAAGAAAAACAAAACAAAACACAAAAAAATCAAATTGTAATAATTTAGGAATAAAAATTATAGAGGCTGGAGAGATGACTCAGCCGTTACGGCCATTTGCTGCTCTTCCAGAGGACCTGGGTTTTGATTCCCAGCACCTACATGGTGGCTCACAAGCATCTGTGACTCAGTTCCAAGGGATCCAGTGCCTTCTTCTGACCTCCACGGGCATTGCACGCACGTAGCACACTGTCATTGCGTGCACGTGGTGCGCAGACATACATGCAGGCAAAACACCCACACACATAAGTGAAGGGAGAAAAAATTTAAATAGAAAATATAAAGCTGAAAATGTACATTTATTGACTATATGCCATGATCTACCATATTAAAACTATTGATACGTATAATGTCAATGTACATTATACATTAAAACAGACTATTATATACATATTACAAACTATGTGTATGCATGCATTACGATCTTTATTGTACCAGTTAAACCTGCTGTTTCTAAAAGGTGTGGCCATGTCGCTATAACCCTTTTAAACGTGACCACGTCATTTTACTCGGAAGCTTCGAGCTCTCAGAACCCACTGTGCACGCACGCGCTGCCTCGCGGCCGACGGTGGCCTTGCTGGCTGTCAGCACCGGTGGTCTGGTACGGTCTCTTCAGTCCAAGCTCTCCAGGAAGGAAACGGGGGACCTGCTGGGGTTGCAGCCCAGCCTGAACCGGGCTCAAGGGGGCGGCCTCTCACTTGCTCCCGGTCCTGCACGCCCATCACCGCCTCCACGGAGTGATGACTCCTGAGAACGCCACAACTCGGGTCGCCGCCTCCCCAGGTCCTCAGCGAGCCTCACGTCAAACAACACGACCAACCGCCCTCCCGCCCGCTTTTCCCGCGCAGACACCGCTGCTTCCGGAAGGGGTGTGGCCCACAGGAAGTACAGGAGCTTTGGAAAACAGACGCTTCCGACTCCGGTGTCATGGCGGCCTCCTCCCCTGAAGGCGTGCTGGAGACCCAGGATGGGAAAAGACGGCAGTTCGGGAACCGGTTCCTGAGCGACCCGGCGCGCGTCTTCCACTACAATGCATGGTAACTGCCCTGCCTTCGGAGGCCCGGCCCTTGCCACCCCGGAGGGCTTCGAGAAAGCCCAGCCCTCCGGCCCCTCACCGGCGGTGGCAGCCGAGGTGCCCGCCTCCCGGGGAGGAACAGCCACTCTCCCTGCCCGCAGCCGGCACACGAGGACCCTAAGCTGCTCGTTTGGTTTTCACAGGGACAATGTGGAGTGGTCAGAGGCGCAGGCCGCGGCGGCGGAGAGGAAAGTGCAGGAGAACAGTTCCCAGCGGGTGTGCCCGGAGAAGCAAGGTGCGCTTGTTTCTTTCCTCGTTTGTATTCTCAGCCGGCAGTTCGGGGCGCATCTCCTGGAGAGGACAAAAGAACTGCAGCCACCAGGATCCTTTGATATTGGCATAGAATGGGACCAGGAGGGGACGAGCTAGGAGACAAAGGGGCAGCCTTCTAACAAAACCTTGGCGAACTCTTGGGGTTGAGTTTTCTACGTCTTTGCAGTTTGTTTTCGGAGGTGAGCCGTTCTTGCTTTATTTTCTAGTGGCCACCGCTTTAGATCATGTTGGCTAGTGTCATGTTGCTGTGGCTGACCTATGACAGCCATGCAGTCGTTCGTTCAGTTTAGTGTAGCTTCCGCAGTTCACGTTCTCCTCGAGAGCTTCTGTCAGAGCTAGACTGGTGTGGTCAGCTCGCAAATACTGTGGGAGGAGAGGATTATTGGATGATGTATATGTTCCAGAGGTGACACGTTTGGAGATTTAGGAGTTCTACCAAAGAAAGATGGGGGTGGCAGGGTGGAAAATGAGTGGTCAAAAAGAGGCCCTTTCTGAAGACAAGAATAATTGCATTACAAAATATCTCTAAAACTAAAGCTGGTCGACCCTATTTCTAAGAGGCATTTGAAAGTCAAACTAGAAATGTAAAAAGCACCGAAGGCGTTTCTGTATAGTAGTAAGGTCCCATTACAGACCAGGCGGGTACCTCCTAGGATGTAGAGGTGCTGTCTCTAAGCAAGGTCAAGGCAGGAGGACCAGTTGGGTCAAGATCATCCTTGCTACTTAGAGTTCCAATCCGATCTGGGCTATGTGAGACCTTGCCTCAAAACTAAATATATTTGTATGTATTCTGGTTGCAAATCAGGCACCCTGCATTGTTTGACAAAGTCTAGATAAAGCAACATAGCTTTGAGAGGGATTCTGAAAATCATGTAGCCCAATATCCTCTTTTTACAGTTAAAGAACCGGTTAGCCAAGTGCAGTGATGCGTCCCTATAGGCTCAGCTGCGTGGGAGGCTGAGGCAGAAGGATCACTGAATTGGAGGCCATCCTGGGCAACATAGGGTGATCTTGTCTTCAAAAAAAAAATTAATCTTGGACCACAGGGCATTAAGTGCTTTGCCTTGAGGTAAGCAGTGAGGCAGAATCCCATTTCTTAGAGTTTTGTTCTTTCATTCAGGGTTTTCATGTTGGCCAAAAGCAGACTATACCCACACTTGCTGCTCTCTCTAGCTCATCGAAACTCTGACTTCAGGAAGGAAGTTGCGCACTGCCTAGTGTCCTCTTAGCCATATTTCCATCTTTATTGTTCACTGATAATCTTGATTTGTGCCTGGCCTCCACATTCTAAAGAAGCAAGCACATACCTTCCGAAGAGCCACATGGATGGCAGTCATTGAATTTATACAAAGGTCAAAGAACCTGAGACATGTAGGTTGTACATTAAAGATATATTGGGGAAAATAATTCCACAGATACCAAAGGATCTGTCTGTGCCTGACAAAGAGAACCTTGCAACTGAGACTAATTAGATTTTTATGTAGTGTGTGTGCTTAATTTTACAATTTTCCTGTAGTTAAGGGCCATCGAAAGATGCAGAAGGAAAATGACTGGCAGCTAAACTCCCTGTGTGGTAGTTCTGGCAGAAGCTGGGGGGCCCTGGGGATGAAAAGCGGGTGACATTAATGTATGATAGCTAGGCGGCAAGGCGACACCCGAGAAGGCATTCAGTTCTAAGGCTGAGTCTTAAAGGATATTTTTAGGACAAAGTGACATTTGGTGAAACAGGACAATTGACATTAGATGTAAATAAAATATTTGAGACTGATTCTTAAAATTCTTTCTTAAATAATATTTACAGTTGATTATGAAGTCAATGCCCATAAATACTGGAATGACTTCTACAAAATTCATGAAAATGGATTTTTCAAGGATCGACACTGGCTTTTTACCGAATTCCCTGAACTGGCACCCAGTCACAATCCCCTGACGGACTTACCCCTGGACAGTGAGAAGAGTGAGGTCTCTAAAGACAGAAGCGGTGAGGACGGCCTTGGCTTTACTACAGAGCGGCACGGGTGTTCTTGGACCAGCTGTGGATGTGACACTCAGGGGCCTCCTGTGGAAGAGACTGTGACTCGGGAGCTCAGTCACCTAGAAATCTGTGCTGATGAATTTCCTGGGTCCTCGACCACCTACCGAATCCTTGAGGTAACTTTTATTTTCCTAATAATGGAATTAGTAAAGACGGCCCGTTTAAACACAAGGTAAGACTAGAAGGCTAAGCCAGAGTGTCCTGTCTGGTGACACTAGATTTGATCCTCAAAACAGCCTGGGTCATCTCCCTGTTCCTTCTCTCTCTTTCATTCTACTTTTTTTTTTAAAAAAAAAAAAAAAAAAAACTAGGTCTAGGCGGCTACTATACGGGAAATTCACAAATAAGGTCTACCAACTTCACTGGAAATTGATTCTACAGCTGGTAAAACATGGAATTAAGTTTAATGCCGTGGGGCTTGAAGGGGGTGGCAATGCTGGCAATTGAACCCAAGTCCTGAGACAGATTAGACAAGCTCTTTACCCCTTAGCTAATCTTATTACCGCCTGTGAGATATTCTATCAACCCAGGTCCCATCTAGAGGATTGGGAGCCTCTTGTGCGTGAGAACCTTTGAGGTGGTATATGTAAAATGGCTAAGTTGTTGCGTGTATTTTACGAAGAGTTTCGGGGTACTCATGTTGGATCTTTATTTAGCTTACTTTGTTCCTCAGAGAGATTCATGTATGCATTGTTGTGCGGTGGGGTTGTCAGCAGAAACATTTCCACCACATTGTGCGGTGCTTAGCCTCTCAGGGTCGGAGTTTGAAGCAGCACCAACTATTTAGTTGTGTTGAACTGCACAGCCTTCTTGCCCCCAAGGTTGTCTCTGCCTGTCACGGAGGTCACCGAGGCCCTTCAGTCTACTTTTCTAATAAAGGTATAGGAAGATAGTATATCTACACGGCCGTCTGCTGGTACTCAGAATGTAAAACTAGCCTCTGCCTACACACCAGCTTTCTTCAGCCAGTGAGAGCCCAGGCTCTTGGCTTTTGTTATCCTCTTTAGTTATAGTCCATGAGTGATAAGGAAATGCCCATGGGTCCTATTTAGTTCTGGTCACTAGACTACAGTTCTTAAAGCTGGGTGTGATAATGCCTACAATCCCAGTACTTGGGAGACTGAGGCAGAAAAACTGTAAGTTTTAGACCAGTCTGGACTCTTTTAAAAAGAAGGGAAGGGGGTTAATTAACAGCTTCTGGGACTGATGGTTCATTTCTGTCTACAGGTTGGGTGTGGTGTAGGAAACACAGTCTTCCCAATTCTACAGACTAACAAGTAAGTATGTTGTCAGGTTTACAGGACGGCAAAGAAGAAAAGTGAGAGTTTGCTCCTAGAAGCATGAGTTGTTTGGGGTGTGGATGGCTAAGCCACCCTCTTAGGGTGGCATAGTTTAGCGTTAGTGAAATTAGACTTAACACCAGTTGCTGTGTAAAAGATGTTCTGTGAGCTGTGGGCTGTGCAGAGCAGGTGTTAGGTTGTCACTTCCTGCCTGAGGTCACTCACACACACAGCACTGTGGCACCAGGAATGTGGGGTTTTTTTCAAACTAACAAGACCTGCACCTGAAATCGAGGTGTCCTGTGGTTCCATTCCAATACTGTCGCCCTGGAGTTAACATCAAATCCCATAGGTTAAAGGCTCAGTCTTACAAGATTGTTCCCCACTTCAGATTCTAGCTGCTAACACAGGCTCACACTTCCAATATGCTGTGAGCCAGGACAGTCCACAGTGCCCTCCTAGGTTTGGCTGGCTTTACTGTTCATTATCAGGGGTATTGTAAGGGTTCAGGGAACAGGGAACAGCCAGATGAAGAGACATACAGGGTGAGGACTAAATCCTTTGGAACTCTCTAATCATGGCATCTGAAAGCCCTGATGTTTAGGAGCCTTGCCTGGAAAGTGTGTAAGTGTGTGTGCGTGTGGGTGTGTGGTGTTTCTTACCACATTTCAAGGTGCCCTGCTTGCCACTTAAGCTATGGCCAGGTGGGGCCTCTGGTCCTAGGGAGGTTTAAATTAAGTCTCTGTCATTCTACTTATCAATAAGATTTGGGAGTCAAAGGCTGGGGTGAAAACCTGCTAGCTCAGAGAAATTGAGTAGCAACTAGCTGACCTTGATTTTTGGCCAGAGATACTGCAAAAAGACAGGATTCTTCTCTCATCCCAGAACCCAAAAGAGAAGTTCAGACTCTAGTCCTGCCCTTTCCTTCATGTGTGTCTTCTCTATCCAAATTGTTGGCTTCTCTGTGACCAATTCTAGGTCAGTTAAATGCTGGCTCTGCTCCCTGATTCAAAGTTTAGCTTTTTTGGCAAGTCTCAGAAGTGTCAGTACAGTCAAAATAGCACACAACACAGATACTCTAAAAAACCCACTGTTTCTCAAAAGTTTCATCTAGATAGTTTTGCCACCTCCGTTCACAATATTTAATTGCAGCAGAGACAAGCAGATCTCTGAGCCAACCTGGTTTACCTAGTAAGTTCCGGACCAGGAGGATGGCCCTGGAGTGCCTGCTGCCAAGCCTAACAACGTGGGTTCAATTCCCAGAGCATAGTGGAAGGAGAGAACTGACCCCTCACGTTATCGCCTGACCGTGCATACACACACACACATAATTAGATGTAATTTCTTATGCCATTTTATTGGCCGATGGATGTCACTCAACCGATGGAGTGCTTGCCTAGCATTTAGGAAGCTCTGGGTTCATAAACTGAACCTGGTGGCACACACCTGTAACCCCAGTACTCATGAGGCTGAAGAGGGAGGTTCAATAAGTTCAAGGTCATCCTTGGCTGCACAGCAAGTTCAAGGCCAATCGGGGATACTGAGAGACCCTGTCTCAGAAGCAAAAGGCCCAAGATTATTGCCAGAAGCTAACAAAGAATATGCAAGTCTTGGAACTTTGAGTATAGAAAGAGATTTTCTTGTTCTTGATGTCTCATTCACATTCTCAGTAATTCAAATGAGAGTGTGTCTTAACCTCTCCAGAATTATGTGGGTGCTGGGATCTGAGCCCTGATCTTCATGATGGTGCACCAAGCACCTATAACCATTGTGGCTGTGCCATTTAAGTAAGATTACTGGAACCTACTTGTTGATGTGATATTTGCTTAGAGGTGACAAGATTTCTTACTTTCTTACTGATGGTTTGATAAACTTGGTATTAGCCATATCCACGTGACCTAAAAAAGGACACAAGGGTCATAGAATTGTAGCCAGAATGCAAGATGTTGTGACTGATAGGTACAGTTGATTTGGATGAGTGATATCCTTTGTCCTTTGACTTTGCTACTCTACATAGAGAAGAGACATAATGCAGTTTGTATCCTAATTGTTGTGTTGGTTTTTTTCTGCCCATTTCAGCAACCCAAACCTCTTTGTTTACTGTTGTGATTTTTCTGCCACTGCTATTGAACTGGTCAAGGTAAGTAAGTGACTCCTGCAGTGAGCTCCACTGACGAAAGGGAAAGGGGTCTCTTAAAACTCAGAGCATTAGCTAGGTGGCTGTGGCCTGAAAGTGTAGAAAGTTCGTGAAGCACCTAGACCACAGAGCCAGGGAAGGATGCCTGATCTGTGCTTAGCTAAAACTCGGGCAGCTAGAGCTCTGCAGACTTTTTAAATTTTATATATATAAATTATATGTGTGTGTGTGTATGTATGTATGAATATGTACTTAGGAGTGTCAGCAGGATCAGAGGCATTGGAGTCTCTGGAGATACAGGCAGTTATGAGCTGCCTGGTGTGAGTGTGGGAATCAAACTCAGGTCCTCTGCAATAGCAGTAAGCTGTGCTCTTAACTGGACCATCTGTCCAGCCCTGTCACCAAACATTTTTGTCCTTTATTTTTTGAGACAGGGTCTCGTGTACCTCATGATGACCCTGAACTTGCTGTGTAAATCTTGATCTTTCTACCTCCACCTCCCAAGTGCTAGAATTGCAGGCGCACCCTAACTCATTCTGACTCTCACACTCTGGGTGCCCCAGAACCTCGTTGTGGTGACTAGGAGTCAATTCTTGTGCCAGGAGCAACAGTAGTGGTGTCTAAAGCAAGGTCAGCTTCTCTCTGTGTTGTGTTCACATTTCTGACTCATTTGTCTCTCCACCCCTGCAGACAAATTCAGAATATGATCCTTCTCGATGTTTTGCCTTTGTTCATGATCTGTGCGATGAAGATCAAAGTTACCCAATGCCCGAGGGCAGTCTTGATGTCGTCGTCCTTATATTTGTCCTCTCAGCTATCGTTCCAGACAAGTAAGTGTTAGGTCCCTTAGCCTAAAAAGCTTTAATGAAGACCTCAAACTCCTATTATGCCCTAAATAAAAACAATATCTCATGTCTGATAGACATAAGGACCATGTAACTGTAGTGTTGATCCACCTCCTGTTTCAGCCTTTAACGCTCTGCCTGCTCTGCCTTGGCTGTGGGCTGCCTGCACAGCTGAGCTAAGTCTGTGAGTCGTGTGTGGACAGATTCCCACTTGGTCCACTTAGCACGTGTTGCTTCTCTGCTGAAATAACACAAAGTTGTTACATTTACACAGACTACTGTGTTCTCTGATGCTTGCTTTTTTTTGTTCTTGATTTTTGGCTTTTGCTTTTTTGAGACGGTTTCTCTTTGTAGCCCCGGATGTCCTGGAACTTGCTCTGTAGACCAGGCTGGACTCGAACTCCCAGAGATCTGCCTGCCGCTGCCTCCCAAGTACTGGAATTAAAATCATGTGCCACCACTCCCCAGCTTTGGTGCTTACATTTTTAGGAAAGCTGAAATACAGCTTTCCATAAAGTGAACTGGAAAGATACCCTTTAAAGGTTCTGGCAAGGTGGCTCAGTGGTTAAGAGCACTGGCTGCTCTGCAGACAACTCAAGTTTCTTTCCTAAACCCACACGGTGCTTCACAGCCATCTGTAACTCCAGGTCCAAGGATACAGCATCTACTTTTGACTTCCATGGGCGCTGTATATAGAAGGTGTACATACATGTAAATATCTATGTACATAAAAGAATGAATTTTTGTTTTTTTGAAAATACTATTTTAAAACTTCATGTAGAGTCAGTAAAGATGGCTCAGCAGGTAAAGAAACTTGCCACCAACTTGAGTTCAGTCCCCAGGGCTCAGTGGAAGGAGAGACCTGACTATCCCACATTCTTCTCTGATTTCTACGTGTGATATGTGCTCATGCGCACACATGCTGGGGGGGCAACAGGAAATGAATGTAATGCATCTTTGTAAATCCATGTGCAGGTAACTGGTGGTACCGTTCGGTACAAAGCACATGTTTAACATGGGTCCTGAGGATGTGTGTTCAGTGGTCGAGTCTGTTCTTCCCATGCACAGCCTAGGTTCAAGAAAACAAAAAGAACGAGAAACCAAGAAAACAAAAGAACGGAGCACAGCAACCTGTGCCTATGGTCTGGGTGATGATATAGGAGGCTGAGGCAGGAGTTAGCCCTGGAGTTCAGAGGCTACCCCGGCAACATAGCAAGAGCCCAAGTCTAAAACAAACAACCTGTGCATCAGGCAGCCAGTGACCCTGTGTCAACGGTAGGTTATAAAGATGATGGCTGTGATGGGGGCACCGTTGACTGACAGCAGAGACGCTTTGACGTTGCCTGAGCTAGCCCAGTTTTCCTCTAGGTTAGCAGTAAAGTTCTCTGGCTCACAGGAGCAGGATGAGCCTTTGAAATGTTCATATAGTGATGTGCTTCAGTTGCTGTAAATGCTTAATCCTGCGCTGGGCTTCTGGAGATGTGAGGTGAGCTTTCCACATATTTATAAAAGAAGGCCCAGCTATGATGGTGCACACCCTAATCCCAGCTCTTGTGAGGCAGAGGCAGGCTGATCTCTGTGAGTTAGAGACCAGCCTATTCTATAGAGTGAGTTCCAGGACAGCCAGGGCTACACAGAAAACCTGTCTTCAAAAACAAGATCTCCTGAGTAAATTGGGAGCATGGGGACCTTGGGAGAAGGTTGAAGGGGAAAGGGGAGAAGCAGGGAGGGGAACAGAGAAAAATGTAGAGGTCAATAAAATCAATAGTAAACAATAAAGAGAAGAAGCTTCTTTTGGCTTCTGTTTTGGAGGTTGGTGGACTTTCAGGCCCTCAGCAAGGTGGCACAACATCACCAATGAAAAATCTCCCATCCCATGGTCGGGGTAAGAAGAGAGGAGGAGGAAGGGGACAGAACCCCTCTGTCCTTCCAGAGCACCCACACATGCTTCCTGGTGACCTACAGGTGCCACCCTTCTGAGTATCTGCCACCTAGCACTTCAGAGAAGAGGCCCCTGAGGAGAAGCACAGTAACAAATGAGAAGCCCTCCCACAGCGCTCATTTGCTGGCTCCTTACAGCACCATGGCAGTTGGAAGGCTTTCTGTATGTATAGTTTTTAGGACATTTTCTAAAGCAGGTCTTACTAAGTGGCCTGAGCTGTCCTCTGAATCGGTCCTCCTGCCTCAGCCTCCCAAGAGCTGAGATTGCAAGCATGCATCATCACACCAGCAACTTTAAACTCTAAAGGGGAGTTTTTCATGTAACAGGAAGAGGCGGTTGATAAGAGTTTGAGACAGATGAGTCATGGGTATTCCCTACGCGATATGGTCGGGCTCCCAGAGAGCTGCAGGAGCACATGTCGGGGGGAGGGAATTGCAGGGCCAGGAGGAAGTAAGCCCATTTAGTAGTGACACATAGGGACTGGCTTTTGTGCTGTCAGAGTTAGGAAGTGTGTTGGTTTGGGGTTTGTGCTACAGGAGGGGGATCCCTAGGGGACTTACACTTCACTCCCTCCACCCTGCAGGATGCAGAAGGCTATCAGCAGGCTCAGCAGGCTCCTGAAGCCTGGAGGGGTGATGCTTCTTCGAGACTATGGCCGCTATGACATGGCTCAGCTTCGATTTAAAAAAGGTACGTGGGGATCTGGAGAGCTGGGTCAGGGGTTGAGAGCACTGGCTGTTCTTTGAGAAATCTCAGATTCAATTCTTAGCACCCCATGGCATGTCTCAACTAACTCCAGTTCCAAGGGATCTGATGCTCTCTTCTGTCCTCAGCAGACACCAGGCATGCATGTGATGCAGAGACATACATGTAAGCAAAATACACAGAAGTAAACTTCTTAAAAATAGGTAAAAATGCTGGGCAGTGATGACAAATGCCTTTAATCCCAACACTAAGGAGGCAGAGGCAGGTGGATCTCTGTGAGTTCGAGGCCAGGCTGGTCTACAAAGCAAGTTCCAGGGCAGCCAGAGCTGTTACACAGAGAAACCCTGTCTCCAAAAACCAATCAGTATATACATATGACTAGGTATGGTGGCTGAGCACTCAGGAGGTATTGGCAGGAAGATCCTCTGCATTCAAGTCCAGCCTGATGGTTTATTTAGTAAGTTCCAAGTCAGCCAGGACTACACGGTACCATATTCTGTACAAGAGTATAAGTGTATGTATATAAAGATAATTTGGGGCTAAGGCATAGTAGCTCATTTGGTTGGGTGCTGTCTTAGATAGGGTTTTGATTACTGGGCTAAACACAAACACTTCAGCATTGCTGTTCATCAGGGCACTCAGGGCAGAAACCAGGAGGCTGAGCTGATGCAGGGGCCAAGGCAGGTGCTGCTTTCTAATAGAACCCAGGACCACAAGTCCAAGGATGGCCCCACCCACAGTGGGCTGGCCCCTCCCCCATCAATCACTAATTAAGAAAATCCCTGCAATCAAAGGCGTGTACCACCACAGCCAGTTTACAGCCTGATCCTGAGGGTTTTCTCTGTTGACATTCCCTCCTGTCAAATGTGTATAGCGTGTGTCAAATTGACATAAAACTAGACAGCCCAGTGCCTACTTAGATACATAAAGCCCTGGTTTTGATCCCTCAAATGACATTAAGCCAGGTGTGTATACTTGTCATCCCAGGACTTAGGTGGTAGAGGAAGGAGGGTCAGTAGTTCAAGGTCGTTCTCAGCTACAGGACCCTGTCTCAAATAAAAAGTTTATTTTTCCAAAGATATTTTGCCACTTAAGTAAAAAATGGGTTTGTCAGTCAAATTAGACATACTATAGAAAGGTGGGTATTTTGTTTGTTTGAGGGTATGTGTATCTTTGGTTGGTTGGTTGATTTTTCGGTACAGGGTTTCTTACTGGCCTTGAACACACAGGGATCCACTTACCTCTGCCTCCCGAGTGATGGGATTAAAAAGGCTTACATCACCACCACCTGGCAGAAAAGTGGTAGTTTTTGTTTAAGAATCTGAGTGGTGGTGGTCCAAGCTTTTAATCCCAGCACTTAGCAGGCAGATCTCTGTGAGTTCAAGGTTAGCTAGGTCTACAGCATTAGTTCCAGGATAGCCAGGGCTATACAAAGAAAGACTGTGTCAGAGAGAGAGAGAGAGAGAGAGAAATTATGAGGAGATTGGTTTAATCTGGAAATTACAGTCTTATAAATCTTTTTTTGGGGGGCGGGGGGGGGGGGGAGTTTCAAGGCAGGGTTTCTTTGTAGCTTTGGAGCCTGTCCTGAAACTAGCTCTTGTAGACCAGGCTGGCCTTGAATTCACAGAGCTCCACCTGCCTCTGGGATTAAAGGCATGCGCCACCGCCATGCGGCTATAAATCATTTTAAATGTGGAACAGGTGGGAAGGTTTCTATGCGCTTGTAATCTCAGTACTTGGGAGGCAGAAGTATGGGGATCATAAGTTCTAGCCCTCCTCAGCTACACACTGAGTTCCAGTCCAGTATATATATTGATATTATGTCTTAAGAAACAAAAGGGCTGGGGAGATGGCTTAGCAGTAAAGAACACTTGTTCTTGCAGAGGACTTGTAGCCGTACCCACATGGCAGTTCCAAGGGACCAGATGCCCTCTTCTCGTCCTCACAAGGTCCTGCATGTATGTGGTTCCCATACATACAGTCAGGTTTGTGCACACATGCACATAAAATAAATACATATTTTTTTAAATAAATATATATTCTTGAAACGGGGCTGGAGAATTGGTTCAGTGGTTATGTATGGGCTGTTCTTCCAGAGGACCCAGGTTTGATTCCCAGCACCCACGTGGTGACTAACAGCTATGTGTAACTCCAGTTCCCAGAGATGTAATGTCCAGTTCTGGTCTCCAGGGGCACCACATGCACATTGCACAGGCACACTGCAGGCAAAACACCCATGCATAATAAGTAAAAAAATAAATATTTTTAAATTTTTAAAACATAAAATGAAAAGAAAGGTGAGTTTATTTGTGTTTGTCAGGGGGCTGTTTTGAACTCAATAAAGAAAATATACATGACCCACCCAAAACACTAACAGTTCACAGAAAAGCATATTTAAATAACCAGTAAACAAGAGTTCAAGGATGTAAAAGTAAAAGGATAATTCTTCTCAAACCTGTTGCAGCCCAGTTCCAGGAAAGAGCTAGATACCTCCATTTATGATAAAAATACAGATTGCAGCCAGATGGTAGTGGTGCACACCTTTAATCCCAGCAACCATATGGTGGCTCACAATCATGTGTGATGAGATCTGGTGTCCTCTTCTGGCCTGCAGGCTTACATGGAAGCAGAATATTGTATACATAATAAATAAATAAATCTTCAGTTTAAGAAAAAGGAGTGTGTAGGGAATTACATGCAGGTTGTAAGACTAAAGGGATCAGCAGAAAAAAGGGAAGGGTTGTCCACGTGAAAACAGTTCTCACAAGTGTGTGTTTGTGGACACAAGAGCAGAGCCCAGGCAAGTTTAGTCAAGAGTCAGTTACACTGATTGATGTTTTTCTTGTAACAGGATTTCTAGGCCGAGCTTGGGGTGGTGGTGGTGGTGGCGGTGACAGCTGCGGTGGCGCAGTCTAGAGCTCAGCTAGGAATCACATTATTATGTGATCCGGAATTTTGTTTTTTCCCATGTGCTGCTCTTTGCTGAAGCCCTGTGCCTTTGTAGGGAATTGCAAGTTCCGGTGGCGTGTCATGTGTCACCAGAATGCACCTCTGCTTTCTCAATGCCTGTTGCTGGCAGGAAGGTGCTGGGAGTTGAGGTGGCCTGGGACTCTGCCAGTCGTCCTGCCTGAGCCTCCTAAGTACTTCAGTTCTAAGCACGAACCACCGCACTTAGCCTGTTGTATATTGCTAAGCGTTGAGATTCAAAGCGCTTTAGAGACTGAAGAGGTCTCAGCCGATAAGAGCACTTACTGCTCTTGCATAGGGCCTGGGTTTAGTTCCCAGCACCCACATCAGACATCTCACAACCTCCCGTCACTCACAATTCCAGGGAGTCTGACACCCCAGGCTCTCTCAGCTCCTGTCTGCTGCGTATACTCTCATTCGGGCACAAGCCTGAGATAAGAAATCCTTTTCTTTTCTTTTCTTTTTTTTAAGTGTATTAATATATCTGTTTTGTCATGTAATGCAGGTCAGTGTCTGTCTGGAAATTTCTATGTGAGAGGTGATGGCACCAGAGTTTACTTCTTCACGCAAGGTATGACAAAGCTGTTCTTTATTAGTGCTAAAGGTGGTTGGTTTGCCAGCACTGCCCCTTCTCCGTCCTGGGCTGTCGCTTTCCCCAGGCCCCTCCGGCTTGTGCTGACTTTCCCTCACTTCTGTTGTGTTCTCCAGAGTGGGAACCTGCCCTTTTTGCAGGTCTCTAGCCTGGTCAGCCTTGCCCTCTGCGCCAGGCTGTGCTTCAGTACAGCTGTGCCTTTGGCTCCAGGTGACCGGGACCTGCTCTGTAGTCTGCCCGTCGCAGACTTCACCCTCCATCAGCACGTTAGAAATATCCTTGGGCCCTTTGTCAGGTCATATACTTTGAATCTGTGTCTACATAGCATTGAAAGTTGTCCCCTAAAACATTGTCCTGGCATAAACATCTGTCGACTTTTGCATATAGTTTTTGTTTTGGAGGTTATTGCTTTGTTTGAAAACAGGTCTCCCTGTGTAACCCAGGCTGGCCTGAACTTCCAGTCCTCTTGAATCCCCTTACCAACTACTGATGTTACAGGCTTCCTTCACCCGTGTGTGTGTGTGTGTGTGTGTGTGTGTGTGTGTGTGTGTAACTTTTGTTTGTCCTTTAACTTTGGTTTTGTTTTCACTTTTTTGTGGGGGTTAGTTTTTCGAGACAGGGTTTCTCTGTGTACCTGGCTCTCCTGGAACTTGCTTTGTAGACTAGGATGGCTTTGAACTCACAGAGATCTGTCTGCTTCTGCCTCCCAAGTACTGGGATTGGAGGTGTGCACCACCACTACCTGGCTGTATAACCTTTTTTTTTTTTAAGATTTATTTTTATTTCATGTGTTTGTTTTGCCTGCATGAGTATCTGTGCACCACATGCATGCCTGGTGTCCTCAGAGGCCAGAAGAGGGTGTTGGAGGCCCTGGAACTAGAGTTGCAGATGGTTCTGAGGCATAATCTGGGTGCCGGAAATTGAATTTGGGTTTTCTAGAAGAGCAGCCAGTGCTCTTAACTACTGAGCCATCTCTCCAGTCTCTCTTGTAACTTTACATTGTTTGTAGAGCCCTTAGGGACTTTTTAAGAACTGGACTGATAGGGAGGAACTGGGAGGAGACAAGGAAGGGAAGCGAAAATCGGGCTAGAAATTAACTGATAAAAAATTAAAAAAAAAAACAACCTGGTCTAGTGTTATGGAGCCATGTGCTCGCAATCCCAATACTGGGAAAGGAGAGACAGGGATCCCTGGAGCTTGTTAACAAGTCACCTAACCTGCTTGGTAAGTTCCAGGTTAGAGAGGCCTAGAGAATGGCATCCGAGGGTGCCCTCTGACCTCCACACGCACATGCACCCCCGTATACATGAACACTAAGAGCACATCCTATAGTGTTCACCTCAGAACTCCTCCTCCTGGGCTTGGCACCCAAACCTTGACCTGCCATTGCCAACTTGTTGGAGTGAGTAGCCAGTGCTGTCGGGGCCTCTTTAAAGCATACTGATGGGTTGTCCCAGGGCTCCAGTTAGCATGGACAGCCATCAGCAAACCCCTTTCCCCAGAGGAAACCATGCACATCTGCTCTCTCCAAACAGATGAGCTGCATGCGCTCTTCACCGCCGCGGGTCTGGAAAAGGTGCAGAACCTGGTGGATCGCCGCTTGCAGGTGAACCGAGGCAAACAGCTGACCATGTACCGAGTCTGGATTCAGTGCAAATACAGCAAGCCTCTCCTGCCAGGTGTCAGCAGAGAGGTGCCCGTGCCCCACACCACATGACGTCATCGTGTGTCAGGGCTTTTCTAAGGAGACATTTGTAAATTTTGGCGACTTGATGTTGGACAGTCTGGGAATCCAAGGAGCTTGGAACCTTGAACCTGGGAACAACTGCTTTTTAGTAACATTGACAATTGTTTTTATTTGTGAAGTCCATTAATATATATTTTCTCAAGTTCACTTTTGACTACTGTTGTTTAGTGGAGGCAATGCTGCGGCAAATGTGTGGGGTTCAGAGGACTGCTGCTGCCGTCGGTTCTCTCCTTTATGTTGGTCCTGGGGTTCAAACTCAGGCGTGGCTGCAAACACCCATGAGCTTTCTCACCAGCCCTCAATTTTATTTTATTTTTTAAAAATTATTCCATGTACAGTGTTCTGTCTGCACATTTGCCTGCAGGCCAGTAGAGGGCACCAGGTCTCACTACAGATGGATGAGCGCCACCATGTAGTTGCTGGGAATTGAACTCAGGTCCTCTGGAGGAGCAGCCAGAGCTGTTAACCTCTGAGCCATCTTTCTAGCCCTAGGCTCTCAGAATTTTAATACCTAGAATTTTACATCATTTTACACTCTGCAATCAAAAATGACCTTGAACTTTAGATCCTGAGTGCTAAGGTTAAAAGTGTTTGCTAGCATGTGTGTTTTATGAGTTAAGAATAACCACACACACACACACAAAAAAAAAATAAGAATAAAAACCAAGGGACTGGAGAGATGACCTGATGGTTAAGAACACTGGCTGCTCTTCCAGAAGACCTGAATTCAATTCCCAGCACGCTGGCAGCTCACAACTGTCTGTGACTCCAGTTCCAGGGGAACTGACACTCATGCGAACACCAGTGCACATAAAAATAAATAAAATTTACCTTTTTTTTTTTTCGGTTTTTTGAGACGGGGTTTCTCTGTAGCTTTGGAGCCTGTCCTAAAACTCACTCTGTAGACCATACTGACCCTGAACTCACAGAGATCTGCCTGCCTCTGCCTCCTGAGTCCTGGGATAAAAATGGATTAAAAAAAAAAAAAAGAATAAAACCAAGGACGGGCAAGTGTGATGGCTCGCAGCGGTAACCCCGAAGGTGGAAAGCTTGCATAGGGGTTCCCATAAGATCAAGGCAGCTTGGACCGGAGTGTGAAACTGTGCCGCAGAAGGCTTGGGAATGTGTCTCACTGGCAAAACACGTGTTTACCTGCACAGGCCCTGCTGCCTGTAATGCTGATCCCAGAACCTGGAAGTCTGAGACTCGAGAATTGCCTTTAGTTCAAGGCAGACCCAGGCTACCTAGTGAAATCCTATCTCAGGACACACACCATGGGACAGTACTGTAGATTCACACACAAAAGTTGTGTTACTATAAAATGCATTACAAGTTTTTGGGAACGCCAGTGTCTGTTGGAACGGCTGTAGTTGATATATAAGGGTCTCTGCTGAATCATAAGGGAATAGACAACATGAGAAGTAACTGTTTTAGAAGGTTTTTCTTAGAATTCAAAGTGGTGGTGCACACCAGTACTCCTAGCGCTCAGAGAGTTGGTGCAGGAAGAGCTCCTTAGTGCCAGCCTGGAATACGTGGCAAGACCCTGTCTCAAAAAAATACTATAACCTTGGTAAGTAATTACATCTAGGCCCTTGAAGGCTTGCATCCCTTGGATTTATGCGCTGCACCTTCCAGACTGTCTTAGTTAGGGTTTCCATTGCTGTGAAGAGACACCATGACTGTGGCAACTATTATTTGGGGTGGCTCACTTATACTTTCAGAGTTCCAGCCCATCATCATGGTGGGTAGCATACAGACAGAAATGGTGCTGGAGTAGTAGCTGAGAGTCCTGCATCTTGCAGGCATTAGGAAGTCAACTGAGATGCTGGGCAGGATCCTGAAAATAGAAAACCTCAAAACCCACCTCCACGGTGACACACTTCCAACAAGGCCATACATCCTAATAGTGCCACTCCCGATGAGATGCGGTCCAAATGCATTCAAACCACCACACAGGCGGCCTAAAGAATTATGAAAGATACTTCGCTTTTAGCAAAATTGTCTCCTTTTCACTGTGCCCTTAAATGCTTGCTTCAGTAGCAGCTGAGAGCAGCTTCCTCGTACTATCTCCCTTCCCTTGGATGTGGTCGTCATCCCTGTGGCTTCAGTGCTCGCATTTTCCCTTTTGCTTGTGTGTGCATCGCTGGGATGTTTGTAATTTTAACAGGGAATTTTCTTCTCAGATTTTAAACTAAAATGTCCCCATAATTGCCTCACTGCTGTGTCTTTTCCCAAGAAAATATGGCAAGGCAGGCATTTTTTCAGGAATCTGAATGTTTGGAAAATGGGGGTACTTTCCATAAGGTGGAACAGAAAGGTTGAAAGGCAGGAGTAGCTAGAGATGTCTGTGCCCCTTCTGGCCCCCTGGACTGGTTTCTCTCCCGCCTGCCAGTACCCGCAGCTGCTTATGAAATATTCATTTGGAGCCTTAATATTAATTATAATTGGCCGATGGGTCAGGCTTCTTACTGGCTAGCTCTACATATAAATTAACCCATTTCTATTTTGTTTTCAGGATGATAATTAACCCATTTCTAATAATCTGTATAGCACCTTGTGCCCCATGGGTTTCTGGTAATGCTCTGACATCTCCCCTACTCCGCCTTCTTTCTCCCTGTATCTCTGATTGGCTTTTCTGCCTAGCTGTATTCCGCCCTGCCATAGGCCAAAGCAGCTTTATTCATCAACCAATAAAAGCAAGACATACAGAAATACATCCCACATCAGACAGGCTAAATGTGGTGCACACCTCTAATTCTAGCATTTGGGAAGTTGAGGCAGGAGGATTAAATCAAGGCCATCCTTTTCTATACTTAAAAAAAAAAATTAAAGCCTACTGGTGGTGGTGCACACCTTTAATCCCAGCACTGAAGGGGCAGAGGTAGGCAGCTCTCTGAGTTTGAGGTCAGCCTGGTCTACAGAGAAAGTTCCAGAATAGCTATAGCAGTTACACAGAAAAACCCTGTCTACAAAAAAAAAAAAAAAAAGATTAGGCTGAGAATATTGCTCTGAGAGCATTAAATCCTTCCAAACGTGCAGGAAAGATAGTGCAAGAACACTGGGCATGGTAGCACAGACTCGTTCCAGCAACTCCCTCTAAAAGCTAAGGCAGGAGGATTGCTTCCTGGGTTACTGAGTGGTGCAGAAGCCAGCTGAGCAGCCTAGACCCTCTCTCAGATAAAAGCGATCTGATGATACAGTCAGTGCTAGTGCATATGAGCCTGGTCACAAGGGAGTTGTTGTAGCCCTGTGTATTTTAATGGATAATTTGTCCACCCGAAAACCTCCTTTGCCACAAACATCTCTCGGGAGAAGCACATGGTGGCATTCCTGCCACCTCTAGACCATTCACGCCTTTCTGACGTCCTCAGCACACAAAACTCTTCCTGTGTGCAGCTAAGTAATCACTGTGCATGTTCCCTACAGCCTGGAATGGTTGTCGGTTGTCGCTTCTGTAACCTTGGCATTGTAAGATTGCAGGCCGACTTTGCTGCTATTTCCTTCAGAGCTGGTTCAGTTACCCTGGGAAGGAAGTGAATGTGTGTTCTGTTGCATTGTATTGGGTCATAAGTATTTTTTAATATCTCTGTACTTGGGGCTTAGCAGGTTAAGGCACTCCACCAAGCCCGACAACCTGAGTTTAGTCCCTAGGACCCACATGTGCAAGGAGAGAACCGATGTACGGTATGGCATGTATGTGCCCTTGGATGTACTCACCAAAGAAATAAATGTAATTTTAAAAATCTCCATTATTGGTGATGTTGCCTAATCGAAATGGTTTTCTTAGGTCCCTGTGCTGTTATGTCTAAATAGGGTGTGAGGGAAGCCTGGCTGTGCCATCTGCCACCCTATTGACCACCAGGGTGTTCTGGGCTAATCTAGCCAGCTAAGCAGGTGTCCCCTTCCTCCTTCACCGTCAAAGAGAACAACCTTCCCCAAATAGAGGAGGACTGGTCTTCTGTCTCCTGCCGGAACCTCCAGACAAGTTCTCAGGTTATCACTAAGTATTGTGTAGGCGTGTTCCTTTACATGTCTGCTCATACATGTTTCCCATGGTCTCTGGCTGTCGATAGGTGTTTAGCTGAATCATTCTAATAGATGCCGAGTGTGTGCTGCGCATATTTGTACACATACGTGTGGAAGCCAGAGGTTGGCGTCTTTATCATCACCTTCCACATTTTTTTATAGACAGTTTCTCTTTAAACCTGTGGCTTGCCATTTCGGCTAGACTAGCTGGCTGACAGGCCCTAGGGGCCCTCCTGGCAGCTCCAAGCCCAGCGCTAGGACTGCTACATGCTGTGCCCCAGCGCCTGTTTCTATGCGTGTGTAGGGTTTCAGACTTTGTCTGCTGAGTTGTCTTCTGTCACCCACACTCAACCTTCGCTGGTCATTCCCTGCCGTCCTTGCTCTCCTGGTTCCCACCCCTACCTCCTCTCCACTCCCTTGCTAACATTGCCTTGGCTTGGCTCCATCACCTGCATTTTAAAATGGAGAGAGAAGAGAGCTTCTTTCTTCCTCGATTGCTAATTTATTTAAAAGTGAAAACGCCTGGGTCTCTGAAATGCTTTCTGCCCTAACTTCTGAAATGAACGGGCGCAGCTGTGTGAGCCGCTAATGATCGTCTTTTGGCCTCCTAAGCCTTTCGGAGCAGCAGAAACGTTTTGATTCCTATTCTGGCACTGTCTTGGGCTTTAAGCTTAGAAGAGGAGCCCTGTCCTGGTCCCTTTTGTTCCCCTCCATCCTCCGACCTTTCATCTGCAGACCAGGAAAGGACTTTGCACAGTGTTTTAGCCTCAGAATCTCTAATGGTGGACAGAGGAGGATGGCTCAGGGCTAGCACTTGACAGACCCCCTGCCCTGGGTGAATTGTGTGAAAAGGTCTGTGTCAGGCTGACAAGGTAGCTCCAGGTATGCAGCTGCCCAGAAAACAGAGTGGGCTAGATGTCTAACAGAAACGCTTCTGAAACCGACTTATCTTCTTCTGTCCAGTGCTAGCCTCTGTGGAGATAAAGTCAGTGTTCTTTGAAACCCGAAAGGCGGTTTGATGTGAGGCACAGTGAGCTGCTGGGGTGGGGCTAGTGTCCTGAAAGACACTCTGGGTCAGGGTGTAGCTTGGGTCTTCCCCAGAGTGTGGCCTCTATGGGGCAAAGGTCATGGTTCATCTCCCGATCTTGCCTGGCTCACTGAGCCTGGCCTCTCTCAGTCTTTGGGTCTCCTGTGCTCCTTATGTAGCGTCACACTCTCTTGGTCTCTGTTTGGAAAAGCGGGGCTCTGGAAATTTAACAAGAAGAATAAAGTCTAGTGCTGAGACATCTGATATTCGTATAATTGATTCCTATCCTTGAAGATGTTAGCAACAGTAGGGGATTCTCCATGGCTTAAAAGATGAGCATAGGACAAACAGTTTCTTTGACACTTCACAAAGGCCTGTTCTTTGGTTTGTGGCCACAGCTGCTGTTTCCTGGGCCTTGCTGCATCGCGGCGTTGCAGGTTTCTCTGCTTCTACGTTTGGTCTGCAGGTTGTGATTTGGAAGCCTTGGTGACAAGTTTTTCAGGTAGAGCCTCAACATGGCACCCTACTGCCTCTCTGTAGGGCAGTGAGCATCGAGGCTCACAACTCAGCAGGCTTTTGGCTATAGTCAATGGAACACTACACAGTGGAACATGTAGATAGTAGAACATGGAGTTAGGGACAAAAAGCCACAATCTGACTTGTTCACTGGGGGTTTTAAGATCCAGTAGCCAGTACATTCACCCTGAGATGTGCCCAGATCAGTCACCCCACTTTCCTTTCTGTGAGTTAGAATTTTACCGTTAAAATATAAATATTTGGCTGCTTGTCGTGGCACACACTTTTGATCCGGTGACTTTGGAGCCACTCCCATCTGCATGGTGAGCTTCATTCCATCGAGGGCTACACAGTGAGACCTACACTCAAGAAATTTAAAAAGATACATGTACACACACACACACACACACACAAACCTCCAGGGCAGTCTCAGCAGGCAAAGAAACTTCTTGCCCTATTGCCAGGCCTGTCAACCTGAATACCTAAGTTCAGTCACAGAATGACACAGTATCAGGAGAAACCTCACTCCTAAAAACTGTCCTCTGATCTCACATGTATATGCCGTGATACATGCATGCACACACACACACAACCCAAATATATAAACATAATTTAAAATTAATATATACCCAGGCTGGAATGTAGCCCTCCGGTAAAGAGAATGCCTTGTATTCATGAGATTCCACGTTCAGCCTCCAGCACTGCAGAATAAATGAATAAATAAATTCTCTAAGCAGCTGTGGGTCTGAGGCTGGAGGATCCTACAAGCCCCAGAGTTTAAAGCTAGCTTATACAAAACAATGGGGATTACATGAAAAAAAAAAAATGCCAGCCTTCAGTAGCACGAGCCTTTAATTCTAGTACTCAGGAGGCAGAGACAACTGGATCTCTGAGTTCGAGGCCAGCCACAGAGCAAGTTCCAGGACAGTTAGAGCTGTTACACAGAGAAACTCCTGTCTCAAAAAAATACAACAAACAAAAAAAACAAAGCTGGGTGCAGAGGTACTTGCCCATAATCTCAGCACTCAAGAGTTTGAGGCAGGAGATTCTTGTTTAGATGGAGCCGTACTTAAGACATTCATCAGCAGTAACCTGTTAGAGAAAGACCTTGACAAAGTGTGCAGGGTAGAGACAACCCTGGCATACCCAGCCATCAAGCCCCCCCCCACTCTTGCTCCCCATTACTGTCTGTCTAGTCTCTGACCAAAGCTGACCCTTCCTTGGGGTAACTCTAAACACCGGCGGGGCAGCAGAACTCCTGACCCAAGGTCACTGGGCAGCAATAGGACAATCCCTCCCAGGACATTTTCCAGTCAGTGCGAAAGCCTGAGGCTCACGGGCTCCCCACACCCCCTTGGCAGGGAAAGCCTACATCACGCGCGAGCACGTGACCCTTGCTTGCTCTTGATGGATGCATATGCTTTTAGCATGTTTTAATAGTGTCGCCCGAGAGCATTGTATGTCACAGATGACTGAGAACAGTTGACGGTTCCCGGTGGCCTTCACATCCAGAGCACGAGGAGTTCCTAGTTCAGCTGGGCACTCTTAACCCTGGTAGCTGCGCAGCTTGGAAGAGGCTGCAGCTACTTTACAAAGGATTGTTGATCTGGGATCTGAGAGGTGACAGAGTGGAGGGGAACTCCCTGGGAGGAGTCATTGTTGAACTTAGATCAGAGTCCGGGGTGTTGGGTGGGGCCAGAGAAGGTTTGTCAAGCTAAGGCTGTTCCCAAATCTCTTATCCAAATAAGCAGAGCCCCTACTGAACAATCTACATGTGCTAACACTACTTAGCATTTTGGCTAGCCTTAACACACACACATACACACACACACACAAGCATACACATACACGTGCATGCTAGGCAGCAGCCCCAGAGTCCTGCGGCACAAGCTAGGCAAATGCTCTACCATGGAACTGCATCCCTAACCCTGACTTTAAGACTAAAATATAGAGCCAAACTTGGTAACACATTCCTTTAATTCCAGCCCTCAGGAGGCCAAGACAGGTGGATCTTTGAATTCAAGGCCTGTCTGGTCTACGTATTGAGTTCTAGGATACCCAGAGCTACATAGTGAAATCCTGTCTCAAAAAAAAAAAAAAAAAAAAAGACTAAAATGTATGGTGGTACACACCTTTAATACCAGCACTCCGTGAGTTCGAGGCCAGCGTGATCTGCATAAGAAGTTCCAGAACAGCCTACATAGACCCTTTTCCTTAAAAATAAACAAGCACTTTTAAAAAATCTTTTTAAAGATTGAAATGCCTTTCAGCCAGGTGTGACGGTGCCTGCCTGTAGTCCCAGTACTCAGGAGACTGAGGATGGAGAGTTGGAGAGCAGCCTGGGTTATGGCGGGGACCAGGAGTGTGTATATGTGTCCATGTGTATAGATGGAGAGAGAGAGAGAGCGTGCACTTTCCATATGCTGGAGGTGCAGCTTAGGGATTGCTCTCTTGCCTAGCATGTATAAGGCCCTGGTTTTGATCTCTTAGGCCATACACCAAAAGCCCTTCATATTTAATCCTTAGAGTTTGCCTGTGAAGTCTGATTGCTGCCCTTGCGCAGACGGCAGCACTTGTTTTGCGGAGAGCAAGCAGTTTGCCAGGGTCGAGCAGACAGTGTTAACTGTAAGGAAACCAGCTTAAAAAAGATGACTGGGGGCTGGAGAGATGACTCAGCAGTTCAGAGTGCATGTGGCAGTTCATAGCCACCTGTGACTTCAGCTCTAGGGAGGTAATTGCCCTCTTCTGGCCCCCGTGGGGACACACATATACATATAAATAGAAAAATGTGTTTTTAAATGGTAGCTTGCTTGATATGAATACAATCACAATATATGGGCTTCAATATTCTGGGGACCAACCAAGTGTTTTGTATAGGTACGGAGGACTGACCCCTACCCAGCTGTAACGCTGTTGCCTGGGGCTAAGAAAGGAGGAAATAGCACTGTCTTTCACCAAATGTCAAACTTCCCTTGTTAGAAGGGGGGGGGGGGGTGGATAGTAGCCCGGCAGTGGTGGCGCATGCCTTTAGTTACAGCACTTGGAAGGCAGAGGCTGGCCGATCTCTGTGAGTTTGACGCCAGCCTGGTCTACAGAGTGAGTTCCAGGATAACTAGGATTGTTAAACAGAGAAACCCTATTTCAAAAAACAAGCAAAAGAGGGGACAGCGGTTTGAAG